TGTTCTAAGTGCTTTAGCATTGAGTCGAAATTGAAACATCACATGCGAGGGCATACAGGAGAAAGAAACTTTGTCTGCTGTATCTGCAAGAACGCATACATGCATAAGCGCAATTTAGTTAAGCATATGAAATGTCATATGAACTCGACGAGCGTGCAGGAAGAGGTTGTTGAATTGACGTAGACGAAATGAAAGAGGAATTCCAAAATCAAATTCAAATTCTTTATTGTATTTCTTAGTGTAGGTACAGTTCTTAAGTAACAATCAAAGACCCTGTCAGACACAGCAACTCACAAAGGACAAAGGATTGTATATAATAACTCTTAAATATTTGGGTAGTATTAGTATTGATGTATTACTGTTGACAATCGAGTCCACAATACTGTATTGTCGACTATACTGCCAGTGTCGAGTCCTGACGACTATTACCCGCCGAACTTGACTTTGTGGTTAGTTATAATTGTTCCATTATTAAGTATCATATGACATGTCATAATCGTGCCATTTGGCCTTCTGTTGTCTCTACTTACCCCAATGGGAGAGAGGCGTGATGAGATATATGTATGAAATATCATGATGTAATCAGACTTAATTGTAACATTAAATTTTTATCAAATATCAGTAGAATACTTTGAAACTTGACGGAACTACGGAAACATCACAGGCTGTATTCGTAATATAGCTGGCAATGGTTGAATGAAAAGTGCCGAAGATATTCAACCAATAGACGGGAGATAGGTTGGGAGTACCTAATTATGAATAAGCCAAGGAAAAGATGTGTACAGCTTGGCAAAAAACAGTTCGGAATCATAGATGTCGCTAGTATCGTACCTGTAGCAACCTGGTACACTATGACTCAATCGGTTTTGATATTTGTTATTTTTATCCAGTTTAAAAAAAGAAACTACTATGTTCGAATGATTGTTTATTCATGTGGTATAGGCCGAAGTGAAATCTTTTTTGCCAAGCAGTATCTAATTAAGTGGGATCCCCAGCCCCCTGAATGCCTAAAGGTTCTATCACACTTTTGGTAAAGTGATTTTGGTGTTTAAACTGTCAAACACCAAGCGGTCACCGGTGACCGCGACCTATTGTGCCGTTCTTTAATTGTGTCTATAAAACCGGTACTCGACGAGTTAAATCAAAAGTATCGAATTTGACTAGTTGGCAAGTACCCAACTGTGGCAGTATTTATTTATTTATTTACACTTCTTGCATAATGAGTATTACAATGGCGGACTTAATGCCTAGTGGCATTCTCTTGGCATTTATTCCAGCACAGTTTCCCAGTCCGGCCATCCGTTTGTGACTACTCGTGGACTATTGGGTGCAGTTTTATTTGACTGCACAATTGGTGCAGTGGCTGGGCAACGTGTAGAGGGTTCGATTCCGCACGGAGCAACTCTGTCTGATCCGCTCAACAAATTGTTGTTTCGGGTCTGTCTGTGATGTGTATGTTAATGTATGTTTGTAAACGCACCTACGGTGCAAGAGAAAATCCTAGTGCACGAGCCTGTGGACGGCGAGCATGAGTGGCTCGCCGCCCGACCAGAACCAGACACAAGCGTACGGCGCGTCGCGTTCCGCGCACGCCTCAAAGAGCCATCAGAACACTACGGATGGGGCCGAATAGGGCTGATGCCGATACGGAGTCGCGGAGGACTTTAAACGGGTTGCCGGGGCTCCAGCTCGAAAGGCAGGAGTAGGAACGGGGTGGTTTTTAGTCAGTAAGAGTCTAACACTCCCTGCCGCCTCACCCAGGCGGGAGAAACAATTCTATGACTATCCCCGCTTAAAAAAAAGTGCAGGGTAACGTTTATTCAATGAAAAATAAATTTGGTTAGACCAACTCATTTGTGGTCTGCAGGTTGTAATGTCATTGTCAAATTTAAAAAAATCGGTAGATTACAAAAAAATTTAAAAATATCGCAGTTCATGGCCTTAGTTGTGGGAATGCTCTCGACCAATGACGCGAAAGTATGCGATCGCGTTACCTTCAAGAGTTCGAATTAACATCTTGTTGAATAGCCTACCTGCATTTGATTTTGACCAATCGTAAAGTGGACTCTTGGGTGCAGAGGGCTAAGCACGAATAACTATCGCAATCGTATCGTAACAGTATCGAGCGAGTTAAGCGTTCTGATTGGTTGGTTCACTTGAGCCGGCCAATCAGAGCGCCGAACGCGCTCGATACTATTACGTTACGAATGCGATAGTTATTCGTGCTTGACACTCTGTTGTGTACTTGCCAATTAATCAAATTCAATACTTTTTTCGAACTGTCAAAAACGACAGTTTTCTACGAATTTTGTAAGAGATTGTGTATTGTGACGTTACTGTTTTTTTTTTGCGTCAAACAGCATAGGTACTTATTTCTTTAAAAAATGCTGGAAATATACTAAAATGATTATAAAATCAATTAATGAAAGTGTGATTATTTTTTAATATTATATTGTATTGAACAGTCGAAATAATTTATTTTTGATTAAGGCAAGTACCTAATTTGGTTAGGCCAACTCATGTGTGATGGATTGCTAAGATAGAATCGTAGCAATCGGCTTTCCATAGTCTCTGTCTGTCTACCCCCTTGAGGACAGGCGTGAGGTTATGTATGTATATATGTTAATATAGTGTTTCAATTAAGAATTGCGATATTACTCAGATCTCATTATTGAAGTAATTAAATAAAATTAAGTACTTAATTTGCATATTATTTAATTGTGCTAATTATAAATATTTAAGAATATTTACATTTTAAAACCTTGTATCGAAGTATTTGATATTCATTCGTGTATTCTCAATGAAATATTTTGTATTCTACATTATAATTATAGAAATAAAATCACAGTAACAATTGATTTACAATTAGATTTACACTAGCTTTTACCCGCGGCTTCGCTCGCGTCACAAAAGGATAAAAAGCCAATGTGACATATACCAATACACACAGCGCCATCTATACCAATACTTTTGTTTTCCCTCGGGAATATCAAATTTTTCAGGGATAAAAAGTACCCTATTATTTAATCCGGACTTCTAACTTTACGTCTGTAAAATTTCAAAGCAATCGGTTTAGTAGTTACGGCGTGAAAGTGGAACAAAGAAACAAACAAACAAACTCACTTTCCGATTTATAATATAAGTAAGATGTAATAGGTACTTACAATTTAAATACTTACAAAAAATCTCAGAACAATGAGACAGTCCTGTTGAACTGAACTGCAATTTGCTGTTAGATTGCAATTGAAATGCGGTTCGTCTGATTAGAGCCTTAGCAGTTAATTCAAATTCAAATTCATTTAATCGTTTGCAAACATGGGTACATAATATAGGTATTAACAAAATATACAGTTTCTCCATATTTTGCCATCACTTGGCATGCAAAGATATGTTATAAAAAAATTATATAATAAAATTAGGTACAATAAGTTTAATTAATTGTAGTTTTGTTAAATTGAATACAGCATGTCAAATAAATTAAAATTATTAATACCATTGAAGTCAAAAATGTAATGTCAAATTAAATATATTATGTAAAAAGGTAATCATCAATTATGAATGTCACACAAGCAATGTTAAATAAATTAAGTTTAATATTCTAGATAGATTAAGTACCTACATACAAGTAGCATCTTATAATAATAATCTGTACTCATCTAGTCAGCCGTGGTGATAATTAAACCACTTTATTTATTACACTAATAAAATATTTACATCAACTATAAAGTTTTATTACCTACCTATGTCACATTTTTAAAACAAAATGCTTTTAAACTTCTTTTAGATCTCTGCCTCGAATTTTGCAGGCAGCGGGGCGGCGGCGGCGCAGGAGCGACAGGATATTATGCGTAAAATCAAATGCCGGTCCATTTCACAAAGTCAAAGTCATCATCATCATTATCATCAACAGCCCATAAATGCCCACTGCTGAGCAAAGCCTCTTCTCACACGGAGAAGGTTTAGGCATTAATCACCACGCTTGCTCAATGCGGGTTGGTCAAATTCAAAATCTTATTTGAGTTAGACCAGGAAAGCACTTTTGATCGTCAAAAAATAAATAAATAATGAAGCTTTATTTAATTAATTATACCGATTTCTACACCGGACACACACCCGTTGCGCGGCAACTGGATGCTGCTGCAACTTGTAGGGGGTTCAATTCCCGCACAGAGCAAATCTTTGTGTGCTCCGCAAATCGCAGTTTCGGGTCTGGGTGTCATGTGTATGTGAACTTATATGTTTGGAAAGGCAACCACGCACTATACAGGTGAAAACATGTGTATCTTTTTGCCAAACACTGTTAAACTTCACACAAATAATAATCCTCCTTGACTTTAAATACCACAGGTATTAGACTAACGGTCGAATACGGAAAGGCGACTCAATTTTAACTTGTACTTAAATATCGTGCCGTCTCTGTCATTTTACAATGGATTCGTAGCGACAGAACTATACTTATTTAAGTGTGGGAGAGCCATGCTTCGGCATGCATGGGCCGACTCAACCGGAGTGATACCACGGCCGAGCAGAAGACCGACGTGAAACAACGCTTGCGTTATGTTTCGTGTGAGTGAGGTTACTGGATACCCAATTACCACCCCCTCCCCCTCCCTTTCCCCAATCCCTGAATCCTCAACAATCCTCAAATTCCTAATCCCAAAAGGCCGGTAACGCACTTGTAACGCCTCTAGTGTTCCAGGTGTCCATGGGCGACACCGATTGCTTACCATCAGGTAATCCGTCTACTCGTTTACCGGTTTATCCCATAAAAAAGCGTGACTTAAAATTTAATAGCCTTTCAGTATTAAGACATAAGATCGAGAAATCTTCACATTTCCTCAATTCTTAAAATGAGTCCCAAATTCGACGCTAGCGCCAATTTCGTCCGACCTAATCCGGCCACACAATACTTTCAATCCACGGCACATAGAATAGGACTCGAGTATAGATACCCGGTTGACCGGAGTAGCCACAGTTTCGACCGTATGACGTCACTCCTATCACTGTGTGCAGACATCGCGAGAGGACCGGCTTGGCTTGTAAGGGACCTCCACTGTCACCCTGTAATAGAAGCGAGAAATAGACAAATTTGTCAAATAAATTCATTTATATCTTTACAAACGTGGTTTGTAGCTATGCAGATTATACAATAACATAGGGCCCCCATATTTTGCCCTCAATAGGCATGTAAATCGCGCCCTTATTGCCTAAGGGTCAATTTATACTAGGGCAGAGTCGAAGTGCACCGAAGCGTTAAATTCTTCACAACTAAAGCGAAGCCGCACGAATGCGCGCGTATTCGTGAGTATACGCGCGCACTCTTTGACGAGTAGTACGTAATGGGCATTAACTGCATGGATTATATAGGCATTGCACCAGGTATATTAATTTTGCCTCGTTGCCCGAGTGGTCTCGGGTTCGATTCCCGGCAGGGCAAAGTATTACTGGGTTTTTAAAAAAAAATCTCAGTAGTAGCACGGAGTATAGAAATGTGCCCGGTATATGGTAATAGGCTCACCTCCTATTACATGGGACTCATAACATAAATAGTGAAAAGTGGGTGTTACATTGTACAGTGGCATAATGTGCACCTCTGCCTACCCCTTCGGGGATAAAAGGCGTGATGTTATGTTATGTTATATCTTAATATTACCTCGCAAGTGTCTCTAGCCCCCAACTCGTCTCCGTAGCACATCTGTATGGTGCCGTTGAAGCCAGTCAGTAGGTGGCGGTGTGGGGGGTAGTGGACTGCGCATACTTCCTCGTAGTACGACTGGAGGGAGACCTGAAATTATACGTAAACATAATAATATTATAGTATCTATATATCTCTGCCGACATCGCGACATCTGCCTAATCGAACCAACAAAACTATGTAACTAGAGAATTGTATTGTGAACCTGATTGAAAAAGAGTAACCTATGGAGTTTCTTGCTCGTTCTTCTACATAGGAATCTACACCTTGGAATCAGCAACTAGCTTCACTTCTAAATGTTTGTTGTTGACGTTCAAAAGTGCCTTCTTTTCACTATTTATGTTATGATTCCCATATCAAATCCCAATAGGTGGTGAGCCTATTGCCATATACCGGGCACAATTCCAGACTCCGTGCTACTACTGACATTTTTTAAAAACTCAGTTAAGCTTTGAACGACCCGGGAATCGAACCCAAAAACCCTGCAGTCCCAATCATCGAGACACTGAGACTATAGAGAGACGTCTATTTTGACATTCGGTGTTTTGAAAAATACTTACAGCTTGCAACGTGTCAGCGAGCTCCATATTATGTCCGAGCGCCCCCCAGCCGGTGGCAGTGACCACTCCGAGGAAGTGATCGTCTATGTTCAGGCACGCTGGGTACACGTGCAGGTTGAACGTTACCCTGGAATATTAGGACAAGGTTTTAAAAATCAGGTTAACAGATTTGATATTAAGTAAAAACGCGGGTTACTCAGAACACACTGAGAATCGCTCTACTAGTTTCGAGCCACAGAGGGGCTCTCCCTCATGAGCAGCGTGCGCGGTCGCGGCGACGTCGCGCAGCTCACTGTGTGCACAGTGAGCTCACTAAACTAGTTGATCGTTTCTCAGTTGTTCACGTGAGTAACCCGCGTTTTTACTTAATTTAGTATGTCTCACGATAGGTTTGATATTAACTGTCGCCTTATTTGTTGACAAGTTCTATTCTACAAGGTACAATTTAAAAGCATCAGAAATCTGTAATTATATATACAAGTGTGGGAGAGCCATGCTTCGGCACGAATGGGCCGGCTCGACTGGAGTGATACAACGGCCTCACAGAAAACTATAGTGAAGCAAAGCTTGCGTTGTGTTTCGTCGTGTGAGTGAGGTTACCGGAGGCCCATTATCGGCCCATTACCCCTTCCCAGTCTCCCTGAATCCCCCACAATCCTCAAACTCCCAATTCCCAAAACGCCGTTAACACACTTGTAACGCTGTGTCAGGTGTCTATGGGCGACGCCAATTGCTTACCATCAGGTGATCCGTCTGCTCGTTTACCAGCTTATTCCAAAAAAAATAGCTACGTGGTTTTTTATGGAATAGAGGTAACCGAGCACACGGATCACCTGATGGTAAACGATCAGCACCCATGAACTCCTAAAACACCAGAGGAGTGGCAGGTGCGTAATGATTGACTGATTCATGTCAAAGTCAAAGATAAAGTCAAATTCATTTATTTCAATACCAGAAAGGCACTTTTGAACGTCAACAATAAAATTAAAAGTGAAGCTATTTGCATGTTATTAGATGATTCGTGTGTAGACTATAGAATGGTCTTCAAAACAAAAGCTACCTACTGGGGCACTAACCTTGTACTAGTTTCCAGGAGAGCTATATCGTGGTACTTGGAGGGCGCGTGGTAGTCAGGATGTGGCACTATACGGGACACGTGGTACCGATGCCAGCGCTCCGGCGGGTCAGTCCGTCGTAGGATACCCATCGCTACGAAACGGACTTTACCACTGAAATTGTACAGTTTAATTTTGAGTAATGAGTTTTTCTGGTGATTGGTGATTTGACCGATTTTTATTTATTATTTATTTATTTCAATTGAATAATATAACATTACAGTCATAAAACCAAAGCGTTATATATTTCAAATAATTATAAAAAGAAAAAAAAACAAAGCAAAACAGAAAAGTCCTTAAATGAAACAAACAATAAAGATAAGAAAACCTTACAAACTAAGATCATATATCTATGAGATCTATGGATGTGGTAAGTATATCAATTATCATGCAAGATTTTGGTGCACCAAAAAAAAATTTTGTAGTAGGCAAATCATGCGACGATCTCCGGTCACCGTAAGCAAGGGCGTGGGGATGGTGAACATGGGTGGCTCGCCGCCCGACCAGAACCAGACCAAGCGTTCCGCGCGCGCCTCAAAGAGCCATCAGACCACTAAGGATGGGATGCGATAGGGCTGATGCCGATATGGAGCCGCGAAGGATTTAATTGGTAGCCGGGGCTCGAAGGGCAGAAGTAGGAACGGGGTGGTTTTTAGTCAGTAAGAGTCTTACACTCCCTCTCGCCTCACCCAGACGGGATAAGTCTTTCGATGACTTTCCCCCTTCAAAAAAGAGGCATATCATGCGGAAGTTAAATACAAGTTTGCCTTATAATTATTCGAATAATTTAAAAAAAAATGACTGCCTCGTTTGCCGAGTGGTCGCAAGTGCGACTGCCGGGCAAGGGGTCTCGAGTTCGATTCCCGGGTCGGGCAAAGTATTACTGGGTTTTTAAAAATCTCAGTAGTACCACGGAGTCTGGAAATGTGCCCGGTATATAGCAATAGGCTCACCCCTATTACATGGGACTTATAACATAAATAGTGAAAAGTGCGTGTTATATTGTATAGTGGCATAAAGTGTCGTAATGTGCACTTCTGCCTACCCCTTCGGGAATAATAGGCGTGATGTTATGTTATGTAAAAAAATCATAAGAATGTATGCTTGTTTGTTCGTCTGTCACGGGTTGATACCAAACTGACCTGAATGGAATACACATAGATTCAGAGAGAAAATAATAGTCTGGACTTAACACAAAGGAACAAAGACTGCTGTTCATCTTGGTAACGTGGGCGGAGCCGCTCGCAGAAGCTAGTTATATAAATATCGTATAACTTACAGCACAGCACTGGAGATACAGTGACCAGCAGTGAGTATGAACCGGTCACTGATCAGTGAGCCGCCACACAACCAGTCCGCCGTGTCCATCGAACCACCATAGCCGAGCAACGCCTTAAAATATAGAAAAATATGATCAGACTTAGTAAAAAAATAATGATAATAAATAAAACATAACAATAAAGGTATGCTTTCAACGTTTTAGTGGCCAATGTCAATACGATATGCATGTCAGTAAACCTTTAATAAGTGATGACTTCTAATATGGGACAATGGAAGAATAAGACACGAATAACTGCCAACCAGTGTCGTGGTGGCCCGGAGGTTTAAGACGCCCGCTTCTCATGCATGAGGGTGCGGGCTCGAAACCTACCAACGGCAAGTACCAACGTGACTTTTTCCGAGTTATATGTACTTTCTAAAATTATTTAGACACCACTGACAAACGGTGAAGGAAAACATCGTAAGGAAACCTGTGCTTATAATTTCTAATTATAAGTTTGTAATCGCCAACCCGCATTGAGAAAGCGTGGTGATTAGTGCTCAAACCTTCTCCGTGTGAGAAGAGGCTTTGCTCAGCAGTGGGCATTTAATGGCTGTTGATGATGATGATGAAATGAAACATAACAATAAAGGTATGATTTCCACGTTTTAGTGGCCAATGTCAATACGATATATGTCTTTTTTTAATAGGACAAGCCCGCCACAACCTGCCAAAACCGCCGCAACTCCTGTAAGCCAGGATCTACAGTAGATACAACCATGAAAACACCGGAACATTGAAGTCCGGCGCGTCCCAGGGACATGAATAACTGTCTTGGTTCCCGCAACGAAGTGATTCATAAGATATTATTAGAGGATAAGAGAAAAAACCATAGTTTCCACTTCCCTCGGTGAATTACTGTAGGAGACAGAGTGAATTAAGCCTAAAGGTACAAAAAAAGAGACTGTACAACTGTATGAAGCCCAGTATACGATATGTGTCAATAAACATTTATTCAGTGATAACATCTAATATATATGGGACAAGGGAAGAATAAGACACGAATAAGTGCAAACCTCAAGAAGCTTCCTGAGGACCACGATTTTGATTGAGACCACGCTATATTTGGGTCATCTTTTGACACTTTTTTAAGTGTGGAAAATCATCGAATGACTTCCCCCGCCTGGATGAAGCGGGAGGGTGTGTCAGACTCTTACTGACTAAACACCACCCCATTCCTTCTCCTGCACTTCGAGCCAGAGCCCAGGTTACCCGTTAGGTTCTCCACGTCTCCGAAATGATTTGACATTAGTAAATCCAATTGGACAATGAACATAGTTCTCATGGCTTTTCTTGTATCACAACCGATTATAGTAGATACCTCTCATTGGCGTAAGAGCAGAAAGGAAACACATGACTGCACGGTTGGTGCTGTGGCTGGGCAACTGGCTACCGCGCAACGTGTCGCGGGTTCGATTCCCGTACGGAACAACTCTTTGTGTGATCCACAGATTGTTGTTCCGGGTCTGGGTGTCATGTGTATGTGAAATTGTATTTTTGTAATGGCACCCACAACACAGGAGAAAATCCCAGTGTGGGGAACATTTCTTTAAAACCTTTATATATATAATTCTCTGTGAGTGTGTTTGTCACTGAACTTCTCTGAAACGTCTGGACCGATTTTGATGAAATTTTTTTATGTGTGTTCAAGGGGATCTGGGAATGGTTTAAATTTACAAATCAGCCCGGCAGATGGCGCTGCAGTCGATGTTTAGGTTATTTATCCTAAACAACTGAACTAATTTGAATGAATTTTTGTTTATACATTCAAGTGGATATGCAGGACAACGTCTGTTGGGTCCGCTAGTACATATATATATATTCTACGTACCATATGCGGAAACTGTCCCCTCCTAGCGTCCTGTCCAATATGTGCTGCATACACTCCGTATCTGTGGGAGTACTTGTAGCACTGCTCCTGCTCGTGCCAGAGCTTCACCAGCCCTGATGTAGGACCGCAGCCTTCGTAGGGCAGGTTAGCCAGGTGTTCCAGACATACTGCGAATGAAAAAGGTTAAAGTAATTTATGAAACTGTTCTATTTTTATATTATAACTTTCGTGAGACATACTTAATTAATTATTATGTAGTTATCGTCTATTGTTGCAGATGTTTATGGGCAGCGTCGGTTGAACCGACTGTTTGGTTGTCTCCGTAAGTTTTCTATTCATTATCAACAGCCTATAAATGCCCACTGCTGGGCAAAGCCTCTTCTCACACGGAGAAGGTTTGAGCATTAATCACCACGCTTGCTCAATGCGGGTTGACGATTACAAACTTATAATTAGAAATTATAAGCCCAGGTTTCCTCGCGATGTTTTCCTTCACCGTTTGCCAGTGGTGTGTAGATAAATGTTATTTATTTATTTATATCTTGTTTTTATTATTTTTTAATTATTGTGTTTGTATTCTATTGTCACTGTTTTGTTATATGTTGTCGTTTCTTTGTGTTTTTTTTCTATATCTATATAAAGCATTAAGTTTTCCTTATGCAATTGTATAAAACTTAAATAAAAAAATATAAATAAGTGTATTTATTTGTTCTTTTCTTTTTTAATTTTGTATTTTTTTGTATCTGTGTGCGTGCCTACTGTCGAATAAATGATTTTTCTTTTCTTTCTTTCTTTCTATAAGTTTTCTATTAAATGAATTCGTTTCCTTACCATCATAAGCTTTCCGTCCGGTCCTGAAGTGTATTCCTCCTAATTTGTCCACGATAGCGTGGCTGAAAATAGACACAATGGTAATTTTAATTACAGTAGGTACTTATAACTCTTAACATACCTACGACTGAGCCGAAAAATGTATGGTTTTTGATCCGATTAGTCTTTAATTATGAATCTAGACAGACAACCGCAATTGCAGTTTGAATGCAGTCGTGTCATGATTGTATTTGAACTTAAAAAAGTACGGCGTCGCGTTCCACTTGCGCCTCAAAGAGCCATCAGACCACCACGGATGGGGCCCAATAGTGGCTGATGCCGATTCGGAACTGCGGAGAACCTAACGGGTTACCGGGGCTACGGCTCAAAGTGCAGAAGTAGGAACGGGGTGATTTTTAGTCAGTAAGAGTCTGACATTCCCTCCCGCTTCACCCAGGCGGGAGAACTCATTCGATTGATTTTCCCACCTTTCAAAAAACGTGCAGACCAATTGCAGTTCTATTGCAGTCATGACCATACGTTTGCAAACCAAACAAACAGTCCGATTGCAGTTCTATTGCAGTCGTGTCAACTGCGTTCAAATTGCATCCCAACTGGATTTTGCAATTGAAATTGCGGTTCAAATGCGGTACGTCTGTTCAAAGTCTAATGTCGGAATACTGAAACGTTACTCAATTTTAAGTCGTGCTCAAATATCGTGCCATCTCTGTCATTCATTTTACAAAGAATTTGTAGAGACAGAACTATACTGTACCCATCTGTGACTAGCTTAAGGAATATGTTTGTTTATTATTACCATAGTTATAAATGTTGTAGTACCAAATTGTAAAATTAGACTTTGTAATTTAATTCTATTAATATTGGCATAGACTATTGCATTAGGTATTAGTACCTGTTATGATAGTAGTATGTATATAGTTTATAAATAAATAAATAAACTTAAGCGCGTCTTAATATTGAGTAGCGTTTGTGTATTCCGACATTATGTCGGAAGTCATTATTAAGTCTGCTTTTAGTGTAGAAAGGATTAGAGTGTCATGCAAAGAAAAGAATTATCAGGACACTATCGATTTAGAACATTATCTAACGTCACAAGTAGGTGCTACAGGATGTACTCGCTTACTTTATATGCCTGACCTTCTCGCAGTCGGTGCAGCACACGATGGGTACATTGCCTTGGAACGAGCAGATCTGGGAAACATAAATTTATGAATAAGTAAAAAATTCTACTGACTGCCTCGTTGGCCGAGTGGTCGTAAGTGCGCCTGCCGGGCATGGGGTCTCGGTGTCGATTCCCCGGGTCGGGCAAAGCATTTTTTAAAAATCTCAGTTAAGTATAGCACAGGGTATACAATTGTGCCCGGTATATGGCATTAGGCTCACCCCCTGTTACATGGGACTCATAACATAAATAGTAAAAAGTGAGTGTTAAATGGTACAGTGGCATTAAATACCATAATGTGCGCCTCTGCCTATATCGGGGATAAAAGGCGTGAAGTTGTGATGTGTTTTTAAGTAATCAAAGAAAATTGTATTAACCTGTGGATAGCTCTTCTTTTTGACATCTTGTATCATGGACAGACATTGGCAAGCGTTCACACACGTCCCGTTCTTACCACGGCCGTCAGAACATTGCGAGCCTGAAAAAACATTTTTTTTTATAGATAGACGAATCACATCATCGTAGTAGCATCAAGAGAAAAGACTTAAGACTTTTTTTATGGAATTGGAGGCCAACGAGCAGACGGATCACCTGATGGTAAGCGATCAGCGCCGCCCATGGACACCCGCAACACCAGAAGAGTCACAGGTGCGTTGCCGGCCTTTTAAAAAGGAGTACGCTCTTTTCTTGAAGGTTTGAAGGTCGTATTGGTTCGGAAATACCGCCGACGACAGATCATTCCACAGTTTTGCTGTGCGAGGCAGGAAGCTACGTGAGAACCGCACAGTTGTGGCCCGCCAACCATCTATTTGATGGGGATGCATATGCTGTCGTGAGGGTCGATGGCGAAAAGATGCGGCAGGTATCAGGTCAAACAATTCCTCAGAGCGCTCCCCGTGGTATAAGCGGTAGAAAATGCACAATAAAGCTACATCTCTACGCATTGCCAAAGTGTCGAGCCAGTTTGAAACACCCGGACATCCAACAATCCGAACGGCACGCTGCTGAATGCGGTCCAGAGGAAGAAGCACGTAAAACCAATATACAATAATATGGTATGAGGAAATGAGTGCTTGGTTGGCGCTGGCTGTATTACTGGTTGCCGTGCAAGAGAGCAACGTTTCGCGTCATCGATTCCACATATTTCGGCCAAAATTCATCCTTCATAAAAATCTACGGGTGTTCGGTGAGCACCCTCCCCACAAAGGAATTAAAGTTTGTATTTTGACGAGACTCCAACCGATAAAAGGCGTAATGTTATGTTATGTGTGTTATTTGGTGTTGGTGTCGTTTTAACATAAAAAAAACAATATGTAAATTTGTTGAACGACATTTTTAACCAACTTCAAAAAAGTAGAATGGGACTTGTGTCTAGTAGGTACCAAAAACTATTTTGTAAATTAATTATGTACCTATTTTAAAATATACGTTTTAAAAAGCTGACCTCAACCCCCTTTAAAGTCAGTCAGTCAGTTAATTAATGAATACTAAAACCTTTTCCTAAGTGTAACAAATGACCTCTCGCGTCCGGCCCTAGTGCGGGTCATGATGCGGAGCGAGGGGGACTGGGATGCCGTCTCCTCCTTTTGCGAAGCCGTCATGCTAGCTAAGGCGAAGGCGGGACTCGTGACGCAACGAAGCACTGCCTCCTCACAACCTAGCCATCGCGAAGGACACACCGGGCGTCGGGGATCGCGGGACGATCTCCGGCCACCGTAAGTGCGGGCCTGCGGACGGCGAGCATGGGTGGCTTGCCGCCCGACCAGAACCAGTCCCAAGAGTAAGGCGCGTCGCGTTCCGCGCACGCCTCAATGAGCCATCAGACCACCACGGATGGGGTCCAATAGGGATAATACCGATACGGAGTCGCGGAGGACTTAACGGGTTGCCGGGGCTCCGGCTCGAAGGGTAGAAGTAGGAACAGGGTGGTTTTTAGTCCGTAAGAGTCTGACACTCCCTCCCGCCTCACCCCAGGCGGGAGCAGACAGTCGATGATTTTTCCCCCTTAAAAAAAAGTGTAACCAACACTTTTCTGAAAACCACATCAAGATCGGTTCAGCCAATTGCGAAAAAATGGCGCATAAACATACATACCTACATACAAGCAGGTCAAATTGAGAACCTCCAATTTTTTTTTTAAACTTGCGTAAGATATAATTATAAAATAACGACGAGATGACGAAAAGGACGACTTGTGGGAATCCCAAGATAGAAATAGCTACCCACTAGTTTTTGTCCAACTCTTCATTCGAGTGGAAAAATTACTGTGAGCTAGAGTCTGTTTGTATTTATTTGCAATCGGATACTTGCCAACTAATCAAATTGAATACTTTTTTTCGAACTATCAAAAACGACAGTTTTCTATGAATTTTGTACGAGATTGTGTATTGTGACGTCACGTTTTTTTAGCGTCAAACAACATGTATATTTCTTAAAAAAATATTGGAATAATACTAAAATTAAGTTGATAATAAAATCAATGAATGGAAGTGTGATTGTTTTTTAATATTCAGTCGAAATAATTTATTTTTGATTAAGGCCAAGTAAGTACCCAATTGTTAGCTTAAGGTACTTCTCGAATTTAAGGGTGCGGATTCGGAACCTGGTCAAAGTGTAATAATGTAACCTTCCAAGACTGATCGTGAAGCAATAAACTCATAATTTATGTCCTTTTTGACTTTTTTTAACTTTACAATATTTAACAGGGTGGGAAAACTTAGATAGTTAACAAAATTATGAATAAATATTAAAATTAACAAAAAAAATAGAAAAGAAGAATTGTAAGCTTCGGATTATTAATCACCAATTTTCCTTGAGCAAGCACTATGATCAGGCTTATTCTGTCCCTGGAATTTGCAGCTGATGAATTAGGTAAGTAGGTAGGGATCCAAAATCGATTAGGCAAGAGCATACGATTGAAACGTAAATCACTTTCGTAGAATTTAAAGTAAGAATAATATAAAAAAACATACCTTCTTCTATATCAAAATCACATTTAGACGAATAAAAATTAAATATCAACACGTTCATTATAACGATAAAATATTTGTTATAGTACATTTTTAATTAAAAAATAATAAACTTCTAATATTAATAAATATATCACAAACGTTCACCCACACAAGAGTATAAAATCAAACTGATTCTTTTTTTAAACAAAATAGATTTCGAAATTATCATATATTTCAATCAGGATTGTAAAAAAAACATAAATAAAAACTATGACCAAGTCCGCTTCTTAGATGGTTTTTTTTTCTTAGCGTTTATTTGTAATCTGTGGTTGATGAGAGTCGTTATGATAACTCATTATTTAACACCAAAGTACTTGTGTATGAATACTTAATTCAAGATTTTGTCTAGTTTTTGTGCAACATGCATTGTAATAGCTCAGATTGAGGACGTCCTTACTACAACACTTAGTAGTTTTAAAAGAATTATTGGTTAATTTAAGCTGACATTCTTAAGACATTGTGTATGATAATGCATATTGTATTACAGTCTTAATAAATAAAAACAAAACATAACATATAAAGTTTAATTATTTAAGTCATAAGCCGGTAAACGAGCATACGGATCACCTGATGGTAAGCAATCGGCGTCGCCCATGGACACCCGGAACGCCAGAGGCGTTACAAGTGCGTTACCGGCCTTTTGGGGATTAGGAGTTTGAGGATCATTGGCGATTCAGGAATTGGGGATATTGGGGAAGGGGAGGGTAATTGGGCCTCCGGTAACCTCACTCACACGACCAAACACAACGCAAGCGTTGCTTCACGTCGGTTTTCTATAAGGCCGTGGTATCACTCCGTATAGTATAGTACATTTCGACAATTTTGTTAAGAGTTCCACGAAGAAGCATACAACCAAACATAGTGTAGCTAGGGGTGTATGTATAGTGCGATCTGTTGGTTTTAAAACCTCGCACTGAAAAAGGCTTAGTGTAGGTCTTCAGACGTGGCCTCACAATCAGCATGCAGTGCGCGGTGACAGCATTAAAACCTTCTTAGTAATAGAAAGACCTTTTTAGTTACCTGGACCAGAGAACTTGATAACAGTCCTCAAGCCTATTACGGTGATACTTGATGGAGCATCACTGAATAAATTAAAAAAATATTAATAAGACCACATTTGATTATGGTTAGAGAGCCAATTGCAAATAGGAAAACGAAAGTAATCGAAAGAAACGTGGTTTTGTTGTTGACTTTACTCATGTCTGCATTTTTGACGCATATTAAGCATTGTTGCTGAAAGATACCAAGATTCTGTTAAACTGTCAAATACAGTACTCGACGAGTTAAGAAAGGTTAATCTTGACCAACAATGCAGTTACACCAAATAATTGTCGCGGAGAACCTAACGTGTAACCGGGGCTCCGGCTCGACGTGCAGGAGAAGGAACGGGGTAGTTTTTAGTCAGTAAGAGTCTGACACTCCCTCCCGCCTCCCCCAGGCGGGAGCAGTCATTCGATGATTTTCCCCCTTTAAAAAAACACCAAAAATTAGCATTAACATTAAAAATAAGATTACTTCATTATAATATTTCTCAAAGTCAAAGTCAAAGCTTTTAAAATTTAAATTAAACCATAATGTAGTACTTTAAAAACGTCAACAAATACAAAATAAATAGATGATCGTTCCAATTCCAAAATATTGATTCGAATGGAGAAGAACGAGCTAACAATCCACATTCGTTACTCTTTCAAAATAAATAGTAGTTAAATTCGTAACCGGACTTGGCATAGTCCACTACCAAACTCCTTCGAGTTTTCCTTATTATGTACATTTGTTGTTAGATATCGCACAGAACCCAAAACTTGACCTCTACTTGCGTAAAGATGACACAAAACTGGTTGGAACTCCAAGTTGTAATCTACAACATTGTGACGTCACTTTAATCCTTTTTAATTATTAACTTTGATAGAGTATGCCAAGCGGTCATTTAAAGACAACGGTCATTTCGAGTTGACGAGAATCAAACAATAATAACCTTATGGGAATTTTATCTAACACTAGCAAACCCGGCGAACTCCGTTTCGCCACCAGATGGCTTCGTTTTATGTAACATTTCGTTTAGTGATTAGTGAATTTTCTTTGCTATAAACCTCACGGAGCCCGAGACCTTTCCAACGAATGCTAAACAGTGGAAATCGGTTCGTGCGTTCTGGAGTTATAGCGTCAGGAAGGAAAACCCGACTTATTTTTATATGGTAGATAATTTTATTTGACTACTTCGTTGGCTGAGTACAAATATTAACTTAGTCATAGAATCGATTAATGAAAGTGTGATTATTTTTTTCAATGTCGTGGTGTACCGGAAGTTTAATACGCCTGCTTCTCATGCATGAGGGTGCGGGTTCGAAAGCTACCAACGGCAAGTCGACAAGTACCAATGTGACTTTTTCCGAGCTATATGTGCTTTCTAAGATTATCCAGACACTACTTACAAACGGTGAAGGAAAACATCGTGAGGAAACCTGGGCTTATAATTTCTAATTATAAGTTTGTAATCGCCAACCCGCATTGAGCAAGCGTGGTGATTAATGCTCAAACCTTTTCCGTGTGAGAAGAGGCTTTGCTCAGCGGTGGGCATTTATAGGCTGTTGATGAGATGAGATTATTTTTTAATATTTTATTGTAATATTGAATAGTCGAAATAACTAATTATTTTTTGATAAAGGAAAGTACCCAATTAAGAAAGAGATACATCAGTCTTAATGAGTTGTGTAGGGCAGATGCCAGTCGCTCCATGTATGCACAGAATAACTCGACAAAATGCGAACGAAACCGCTGGTAAAAGCTAAGCTTTAAAGCATTTAACAATAAAAATATGGCATCTATTTTTAATTAAAATTATGAACTAACATAGTTAACAACACGCTTTTTATCCCCGAAGGAATAGGCACAGGTGCACATTACAGCACTTAATGCCACTGTACAATGTAACAACCACTTTTCACTATTTACATTATGAGTCCCATGTAATAGGGGGTGAGCATATTGCCATATACCGGGCACAATTCCAGACTACCTCTGAGACTTTTTTTAAGCCTTTGACTGCCGATAGAAAACTGTTGAAGGTAAATCCTCCGTTATCAAGGCCCATACCTTGTCCCCCATGGCGTTCAACGTGTTAAAACCCCTTTAATACTTTGCCCGACCCGGATAATCGAACCCGAGACCCGGTGCCCTTAAAGAGTAGAGATGGTGAAAAATGTGTCATAAGTCAAAGCATTTATTTCAATTAAACCATAGTTTGGTACTTTTGAAACGTCAACAAATACAAAATAAATAATAGTCTGTCAGTCAGTCCGTCAGTGAAACTGGGTGAAGGTAGGTGCTCATTCCAAAATGTAGATTCGAATGGAGAAGAACGAGCAAGAATCTCCATTCGTTACTCTTTTTAAAAAAGTATGTTCTACAATGTCTCTGATACATATTTCAATACTGTACGCATTATGTAAGAACAATGCAAAGACACGCTTGACACATTATACTAATAACTTACTAAAATAAAAAAAATTAAAAATCTTATAGTCTAACATGGTGCTCACATATTATGCATACTGACAATCCATAGAAATAGTGCTTCTATACAAGAAAAAGGAAATTGATTATTCAGATTCAGTGATTTATTCAGATACAGATTTTACTCGTGATTTTACACATCAGGCCATCGACTCAATAGAAGGTAACGCGGATACTAGATACATACAATGGAATCTTGACGTCAAAATCTAGTTCATACTTAATGTTAACAACAACGTGAACAAAAGCCTGTCTTTATACTATGCCTGTATATTCGCTTTTCAACACAGACGTAGATAAGATGAACGCATAACAAGTAACCAGTGTGCGGATCTTCAAAAAGTAGAATAATCAAGTGACTTTTTGATTTGCGTCAAGCGTAAAGCTGTGCTTCCACAGAGGCTGAGCTGCGCGGAGCTGAGCAGAGACTTATAAAAATTGACCGATTGAGATCTTCATCTCTGCTCTGATTCAGTGGAAACAGTGTTAGCGGTGTTGAGAACATTTGTTCACATTAAAATCCCGAACGTTGTGTAGAGCTGGGCAGTGCAGTGTCAAGCTTAGTGGAGCTGTTCATCAATTTATTTCATCAACAGCCTATAAATGCCCACTGCTGAGCAAAACCTCTTCTTACACGGAGAAGGTTTGAGCATTAATCACCACGCTTGCTCAATGCGGGTTGGCGATTACAAACTTATAATTAGAAATTATAAGCCCAGGTTTCCTCACGATGTTTTCCTTCACTGTTTGTCAGTGGTGTCTGAATAATCTTAGAAAATACATATAACTCGGAAAAAGTCACATTCGTACTTGCGGAGCCGCGGAGAACCTAACGGGTTACCGGCGCTCCGTCTCGAAGTGCAAGAGTAGGAACGGGGTGGTTTTTAGTCAGTAAAAGTCTGACACTCCCTCCCGCCTCGCCCATTCGGGAGAAGTCATTCGATGATATTCCCCCTTAAAAAAAATACCTTTCAAGGCCCGTGGCATATTTATCGAATGAGCCCCCGTTGTCTATAAAAAACAGAGACGTTCAGATAAAAACCTCTGAAGGGACCCCTCCCTTCAAGCTCGCCCGTAAAATTATTAGTGTAGTTATAATTGCGCCACTGCTAACCTATGCCATAAAAATTTGCATTCGTATACGATCACTGCCTCGTTGGCTGAGTGGTCGCAATTGCGACTGCTGGGCAAGGGGTCTCGGGTTGGATTTCCGGGTCAGGAAAAGTATTACTGAGTGTCTTAAAAATTCTGAGTAGTAGCACGGAGTCTGGAACTGTGCCCAGTATATGGCAATAGGCTCACCCCCTATTACATGGGACTTATAACATGAATAGTGAAAAGTGGGTGTTACATTGTACAGTAGTATAATGTGCACCTCTGCCTACCCCTTCGAGGATAAAAGGCGTGAAGTTATAGTAGTAGTAGTAGTAAGCAGTGGCAAACAACGATGCAGCCTACTATGGTTTACTGCGACAACTGTGCAGTAAACTCACACACACGTAGGTACATCATATCAACAGTCCGTGACACTCACGTCACAGTTCACTGCTGGACTACACGCCTCCTCTACATAAGAGCCATTATCTCCATAAGCGCTTGGCAGGCCGGTTGGAGTACATGTCTATCAGAGAAAGTTACTTTTTATTTATTTATTTTTTTATTTTTTTTTTAAAAAAAAAACGTTGCCCCACACTAGGATTTTCTCCTGTGTCGTGGGTGCGTTTACAAACATACAATATCACATACACATTACACCCAGACCCGGAACAACAATCTGTGGATCACACAAAGAGTTGTTCCGTGCGGGAATCGAACCCGCTACACGTAGCGCGGCAGCCAGTTACCCAGCTACAGCGCCAACCGTGCAGTCAGTTACTGTCCGGTCTCTGTAAAATTTGTAGTCTCTTAGTCAGCGCTAACGACACCCACCACAAATACATATTCGTACCCCCGGTGCTATAACGTCACTTATGTATTGCGGGGGCCCGCGCGCAACTGAACAATGAAACGTTGTTTCTCCCAGTGCCGTCCAGATTCGCGCCAAAACCGTAACGACTGTAAAGCCCTCACGAGGACAGTTTGTGTACTACACAAATGACAATAACGCACCAAGTAAAGAGGTGAATTTGGAGTATTCGTTCATAATCAGTTAAGTTTTGACAAAAATTGCATACATAAGTGACGATATTGCACCGTAGGTGCGAATTATATTCTACTCTGGCCGCCATCATGACACGGTACTGTAGTAAAATCCATGTAACTCAATGTCCAGACGGTATGTTAATGATGTTGTTCTTGTTATGTTAAAAACAATTTGTTTACCTACAGACAAAAGCTCAGCTGGACAAACTAGCAACACGCCGCGACGCCGACGTAGGTAGTTGATATGCACGTGAAAATTTGAATAATATGGAAAGGCATTGATTCACTATTATTTAAATTTGTTAACCTGTTTATGATGTGATTAAAACTGGTTGGAGATGCCACTGATTGGCGGATGAAGGGGTCCGTACGTACAAATATATTGAATATGAAAACCGCTTTTTCCTCAGGATCTAAATCGTCAGGGATTTGTGTTATAAGTAAAATAATATATATTTTTATTGGATTTGATAATTTTAATAATGATATACAACAACATAACATCACGCCTTTTATCCTCAAAGGGGTAGGCAGAGGTGTACATTATACCACTGTACAATGTAACACCAACTTTTCACTATATATGTTATGAGTCCCATGTAACAGGGGGTGAGCCTATTGCCATATACCGGGCACAGTTCCAGACTCCGTGCTATTACTAAGAATTTTTTTTTTTTTTTTAAAAACCCAGTAAGTGTGGGATTCGTGCCTCACTAAAACCACCCCGGTGGCAACCCTCAGCACCTGTAATGGGCACCGGGTCCTCTGAAGAGACCTGCTCCGGAGCCCCCACATTGCAACGCCTGTTACAGCACATTTCTAGGGTAACAGGTAACCAGTGCTCCGGCTCGACGTGCAGGAGAAGGAACGGGGTGGTTTTTAGTCAGTAAGAGTCTGACACTCCCTCCCGCCTCAGCCAGGCGGGGAGCAGTCATTCGATGATTTTCCCCCCTTAAAAAAAAAGGAGACCTGCGTGTCCCTTGATCATCGCGGGAGCCTTCCTGGTTCCGTCCACTGACAAGGCTAAGCTTTTTGTATTTTTATGCACAGCGAAGCTCAAGAATAATAATAAGAATAAGAATAAGAACGTTGTTTTGCACGAAGTATGGTAATTACAGGTAATAATAATTATAAAAATAGTCCCACATACATCGCCTACTATACATACACTTTTACAATAATAATATAATAAAGTTAAAATCTTACATTCAATAAAACCAATTACAAAAATGCTTACAACTAGGATAACATAATTATTTTTCCTAACATTATTATTATTACTTTTCTTCTTTATTCACATATTTATCATTTTAGTGACTTACTAAATAACAACACACTTAATATTGCACACTTAGTATTGCACACATTATTACTAAACTACTATTTACTTTATCAAAAGATAAAGACTGCCTCATTGGCCGAGTGGTCGCAAGTGCGACTGCCGGGCAAGGGGTCTCGGGTTCGATTCCCGGGTCGGGCAAAGTATTACTGGGTTTTTAAAAATCTCAGTAGTAGCACGGAGTCTGGAAAAATGTGCCCGGTATATGGCAATAGGCTCACCCCCTATTACATGGGACTCATAACATAAATAGTGAAAAGTGGGTGTTACATTGTACAGTGGCATTAAGTGGTGAGCCTATTGCCATATACCGGGCACAATTGGGATGATAAAAGGGTATGAAAATTTAAAATCTAATTAGTCCGTAAGTTAGGTAATGAAAAATTATTAGACACGTATTTTTCATTTTGTCGTATAATAAAACAATACTTAGACTTTATACTATGACTTACACAAAACGAATCAAAGTTTATGAGTGGGGGCTAAAACGTCATTTCTACATATAAAATGTATGTACATAGAAGTGACGTCACGCGACATTTCAAATCAATATATCGTCGAAAGTATTCGTTTCTGTAAGAAAATAAAAATACGTGTCTAATGATTTTAAATAATCTACCAGATGGACATTAAAATAAAAATAGGCATCTACCCTATTCCAGACTAGTAACTTTTTTTCAGACATTTCTTATTTTCAATCATTATTTTATTGTAATTTAATACCGTGGCCTCTTGTGATCTTACTAGAACAAAATAATTAAAAACGCGGAAATAATTTATTAGGTACAAAACCACGTTGATCACCTACCCAAAAAAATTCTTGATCATCTTTTTCCTGTTATTTGTAACAACGGAACCCTAACTTCAAGTTATTAGATTAAATAATTTTTATAATCTCGTGATGACCCGGTCGGGCGACTGACATTTCGATAAAAAAACCGACTATTCACAATAATTAAACCTTGAACTTGCCAATACGGGCAACACGTATTTGTTTCAAATCGTAAATTATTTTTCCTCTCACGGCTCATTTAATTTTATTGGTAAATATTTTTTATGGCGGTTTATGGGACACTCCCGCGTTTTGTTTTGCTGCCCCCTGCTGAGTTGCTAAGTATTTTGGAATGTTAAACAACCTTAACTATAAGACATTGATGTAGTGTAAGTCAATTTCAAAATTGGTGTACCAGTCGCACTGTCAGTGTCCACGTCTGTCGCGGAGAACCTAACGGGTACCCGGGGCTCCGGCTCGACGTGCAGGAGAAGGAACGGGGTGGTTTTTAGTCAGTAAGAGTCTGACACTCTCTCCCGCCTCACCCAGGCGGGAGCAGTCATTCGATGACTTTCTCCACTTAGGTAAACGCAGTGTAGGGTGCCCTTCAGCAAGGTAAAGTGACGACATCCGCAAGGTGGCTGGCAGTGGTTGGATGTGAAGAGCTGAAGACCGAGCTCAGCGGCGTGCCTAGCAGTGGACGAATACATGATGATGAAATGAAGTAAAATAAATAATGCATGATTTTTAAATACCGACACGACATATACAACCGACACGACAGACACGACAAATACGACCGACACGACAAATCCGACCGACACGACCGATACTACAAATCCGACCGACACGACAAATACGACCGACAAGACAAATCCAACCGACACGACAGATACGACAAATCAGACCGACACGACAAATCAGACCGACACGACAAATACGTCCGACACGACAAATACGACCGACACGACAGATGCGACAAATCCGACCGACACGACAAATCCGACCGACACGACAAATACGACCGACACGACAGATGCGACAAATCCGACCGACACGACAGATGCGATAAATCCGACCGACACGACAGATGCGACAAACACGACCGACACGACAGATACGACAAATCCGACCGACACGACAAATACGACCGACACGACAAATCCGACCGACACGACAGATGCGACAAATCCGACCGATACGACAAACACGACCGACACGACAGATGCGATAAATCCGACAGACACGACAAATACGACCGACACAACAAATACGACCGACACGACAAATCTGACCGACACGACAAATACGACAAATACGACAGATACGACAAATCCGACCGACACGACAAATCCGACCGACACGACAGATGCGACAAATCCGACCGACACGACAAATCCGACCGACACGACAGATGCGACAAATCCGACCGACACGACAGATGCGACAAATCCGACCGACACGACAGATACGACCGACACAACGGATACGACCGACACAACAGATACGATCGAACGACCGGCACGATCGACACGATCGACACGACGGTCACGTCAGACACGACCGATACGACAGATACGACCGACATGACATACAACCGACACGATGGTCACGCCAGACACGATCGACACACGTCAGACACGACTGGCACAACAGGTACGACCGACATAACAGATACAGACCCGTGTTATACGTGGTACATACGTGACCCGGACCCGTGTCATCACTAATTATTTGGATATTTCTTGATGGGTCTGCGAATATCTCCGAGCCCACTCCCCGCTGTTGATTATTTAAAAGAAATCTCTTTTTTAGTGCAATATGAATCATATTATAAAAATGTTATTTTGTAGTTCGTCTTCAAAGTTACAAAAATGTTGATTTTTTTGGTCATTGTGTGTGGCTGTGTTTAATATTTGAAGATGCTGATTGTGTTTTCTACGTTTAAAATATATTATTTTTGATAGCAGACTAGAACTTACTTGATGTTGATTTGATCTCAGTGAATTAATCTTTATACTATTATAAGTTCATTGTTATCTGTACAATTATTATGGTCGGATTGAAAAGAAATATATCATACAATTTGTTTTATTTGTAGACGCAATGGGTATTTAAAAAAAATGGTGTTCCTTTTTAAATTATACTACATTTGATTTTTTTTTTTTTGCTAAAACCGTACCTAGCTCCGGTTTTCGGTTTTGGTCCCAAAAAAACGATGTCCAAAATCGGTTTTGATGACTTTCCAGCTTTGCATGCCGTACATAATATATGTATTATACAATAAATTAACTATTATTAACTATTAACTATATTTATTAACTAAAAATCGCGGGTTACTCACATGAATATTCTGAGAAAAACTCTACTAGTTTTTTAGTACAACTTAAAATATAAATGACTACAAAAATAAAAATTAACTTTATAAAATATAAATAGTTAGTTTAGTATGACTCACGATAGTTACATATTAAAAACAATAAATTAAATACTACGTTAAATACTAAATGTAATAACCAATCAAAATCAATATCTTCATTCGACTGCGAACAGATTAACTAAACGCATCTTACTTAATCTGTGCCCCAAAGTTGTCAAACAACAACATTTCGGGATTGCTGTCAAAATATTAAATACGAATGGGTGTTGATTTACGTTTTAAAACTGAAAATTAACAACAATACTGTATGGACATTGTTACAAAATGAGCGTAAATAACCGCAAGGGCCCCATCGTGGACCCGGGCTTGTGTAGATGCTGTGGTGCAATCAAAAAGTGTCGATTACTGAACGTCGAATACGAATGGTCCGGACAGCGAGAAGTTTATGCCGATATGTTCGTCGATTGCTTCGGACTAGTGGTCACTTTTAGTTATTTTACATTCTTAATAAATTCTAAAGTAACCTAGCGAGCTTTCCTACCCAATGAAAGTCATAAAATTTACTTTAAAGAGTATAAACTAAGTCTCGAATTTGAGACATTTATAATTTTGTTACACCGACTTTTAAAGATAATGGGACCTTATTTACGTTTATTCCATATCGTAGTCCGTATTTTCGGTCAAAAATAGAAATTTTTTTTAATTTAGGTTTGATAATTAAGCAATATCTGTTATAAACGACAATTTATCATTAAAGTAGGGCGAAAGAAAAAAAAACATATTTTATGATGTGTTATGATAAAATTTCTTACTCTTACGTGCTTACTTACATAAAATTAAAACCCCTCGTATGTCCAGCAGCGGAGTCTCTCTGATGACTGCTTCAGAAGCAGTCTGAAAGATAGTTTTAATCTCAAGAGCGGGGGTGCGCCATACTTGCGTGGGTAAATGTACACGCACATTGTCTTTGTTTGCGTACGCTCGGGAACGCCCAGTTTTGGCTGGCATCCCAATGAATAAGCTTGCTGTGAGTGCACTAAAAAGCCATAGTTGGGCTTTTTTAAGGGGGTAAATCATCCAATGACTTCTCCCGCCCGGGTGAGGCGGAAGGGAGTGTCAAACTCTTACTGACTAAAAACCACCCCGTTCCTACTCCTGCGCTTCCAGCAGAAGCCCCGGCAACCCGTTAGGTTCTCCGCAGACTATACTTGCTTATTCTTCTCTACATTTTGGAACGAGTGCCTAGATTCATTGACAGACTAACCGATTATTTGATTATAATATTTCAAAAGTGCCAATTTAAGAATGAATTGATAGAAATTATTTGACTTTAGATTTTCATGCTCTTACGTGCTTGAATATAAAACGAAAGCACCCCTTTTCTAGAGATGACCCATAGTCCGACAGTGGACTCTCACAGGGCTGTTGTTTTTTATGGAATAGGAAGCAAACGAGCAGACGGATCACCTGATGGTAAGCGATCAGCGCCGCCCATGGACACACGCAACACTAGAGCAGTCACAGGTGCGTTGGCGGCCTTTTAAAAAGGCGCTCTTTTCTTGAAGGTCTGATGGTCGTATTGGTTCGGAAATACCTCTGACGACAGATCATTCCACAGTTTTGCTGTGCGAGGCAGAAAGCATCGTGAGAAGCGCACAGTTGTGGCCTGCCAACCATCTATATGATGGGGATGCAGATTAATAAGCTGTGACATGTTGAAGGCTATAACCTGGGTGTCTTCAAGGCCCGAGTGAATAGGTTGCCTATGGGACGACGTGCTCCATCGTAGGCCACATCATCGCTTACCACCAGGCGAGATAGTGGTCAAACGTCAATCCAATCTAATATAAAAAAAATGTTGATTTCCAGTTATCTCACTTGGAAGGCGAGGAGTCGGAGCGTCTGATCTGTGCTACGTGTGTAGTGCGGCTGAGAGACGCGCGCGCCTTCAGACAACAGGTGCTGTTGTGTGAAGAGAAACTGCTCAGTGCCAGTGTGCAGATACATGATGGTAAGCAAGTTCATTAAATGATGGGTGCTAAGGTCTTTTTGGAATGGTTCTCAAGTCGACGCCACGTACCGGCAAGCGCAGCATAGGACGTCCATCCGCAAGATGGACAGACGACCTGATTAAGATCGCATGGAGCCGCTGGATGCTGGTCGCTTCCAACCGGCCTATCTGGAAGTCATTGGGGGAGGCCTGTGTTCAGCAGTACACGTCCTATGGCTGATATGATGATGATGATGATAATGAAGGTATTTTTATTCAATTGATGCATAGGTTTAGGGAGTGGTTGCGAACTACTTCCAAGCAAGTGTTCTCAGGTTCGATTCTCGAGATTTAGTTAGTATCCAGCCACTCTCTGACACTCCTTCTGAAGCGTGTGGAGTAGCCATCGTAATGAAACCACATGTCATGAATGAGGTTTAATTGTGTATCGTCGAGCGAATTAGATAAGTAGTTCTTTGTTCGTTTGAGATATGGGGTTCCTTAATCAAATCGGTCAGAAATAATAGATACTATAACCTCTTAAAGGATTTAGGTCGACTTACCCTGTAACCCTGTAATATGCTAATAGAATGTATGTATAGATTTAACTCATTAAACGCTATGGGGATTCCGATGACCGAAGTTAGCGAAGGATTTGCCTTCAACAGTTTTCTATTGGCAGTCAAAGCCTTTACCATTTGAGTACCGTCATTATAGACACAATTAAAGAACAATAGGTTGCGGTCACCGGTGTCCTCGCGGTGTTTGACAGTTTAAGCAAGTATTAAGTTTCTTATCCTTGCAGATGATGAAGATAAAATGAAAATGGATGTGGAAGTGAAACAAGAGCTGGATATGACCAGGGATGATGTATCCATGAACAATGATGATCACCACGATCCGATAGATGACAGCACTGAGCAACAGGATAAAGATAAGGAGCCTACGGTGACTTCTCGTGAGTTTTTCTTTATCCTTACTATTCCTTACTAATATTATAAATCGGAAAGTGAGTTTGTTTGTTTGTTCCGCTTTCACGCCGTAACTACTAAACCGATTGCTTTGAATTTTTGCAGACGTAAAGTTAGAAGTCTGGATTAAATAATAGGGTACTTTTTATCCTGGAAAAATTTGATATTATTAAGGGAAAACAAAAGTATTGGTATAGATGGCGCTGTGTATATGGGTATATGTCACATAGGCTACTTTTTATCCTTTTGTGACGCGAGCGAAGCCGCGGGTAAAAGCTAGTGTTTATATAAATTTGTATTACATTAATTTTATGTGATTAGGGGTAAATAAGTTGGTAAACAACAACAGTGCCGCTCACGGACACACGAAACACTTTAAAATTTCTTCTTTAATTGTAAACGTTGCCCCACACTAGAATTGGGTACTTGCCTTAATCAAAAATAAATTATTTCGACTATTCAATACAATAAAATATTAAAAAATAATCACACTTTCATTAATTGATTTTATGACCAACTTCATTTAAAATTTTTTCAGCATTTTTTTTAAGAAATGAGTATGCCGTTTGTCGCTAAAAAACGTGACGTCACAATTCACAATTTTCGTACAAAATTCATAGAAAACTGTCGTTTATGACAGTTCGAAAAAAGTATTGAATTTGACTAGTTGGCAAATACCGTCTTGTGTCGTGTGTGCATTTACAAACATACAAGTTCACATACACAGCACACCCAGACCCGAAACAACGATTTGTGGATCACACAAAGAGTTGTTCCGTGCGGGAATCGTACCCGCTACACGTTGCATAGCAACCGGTTGCCTAGCCACCACGCCAGGAACCGTTCTCCTCTCACTCCATTATAGACCTTATTTCCCATATTTAGAGTCTGTTTGAACAAATTTTGTGGACTTTTCGTACGATATATCGATGAAATTATACACATTCATATTTATTTTAATTTCCAGTAAATATACAAGTTAAAATAGAAGATATGCATGAGGAGACAGTGATGCCAATGTCCCCGATCCCGCTAGAGGGCGCCGCTGATGAACAGGCCAAAACTGATATGTTGGACGAGCTTAATAGTATGAAGAAAAAACTTGATCAGCTGCAACAAAGCGGTAAGTTAATATTAATTGAAAGATAAAGATATATAATATAATTTTTATATAATTTTTATTTGCGTTAACATGAGTAATATTACAAGAGCACATGCAATGGTGTTAAGTTACGAGTATGAGCTACATGTTATGCCGTTTTGGCGTACATATATTTAAAATCAATATTTAATATTAACGTAGGTAGTGAAAAGTATATACATGCATACCTAAATAAGCAATAAAAGACATAGAAGTCGTTATTAAAAGTTACTGGTAAAACTAAAGCAAAAAAGACAGAAAACAATATTAACCGTTACAGATACAACAAAATTATATTAATTGTATTACAAATCTAATTTATCTTTAAAAAAGTCTTCTATATTATAATAACATTTCTTATGTAACAAACGTTTGAGTTTATTTTTAAACATGTTAAGATTTTAGGCTTGTATGGATTTAAGTAATTTATTATAAACTAGCTTTTACCCGCGGCTTCGCTCGCGTCACAAAAGAATAAAAAGTAGCCTATGTGACATATACCAATACACACAGCGCCATCTATACCAATTCTTTTGTTTTTCCTCGGGAATATAATTTTTTTCCGTGTTAAAAAGTACCCTATTATTTAATCCGAACTTCTAACTTTACGTCTGCGAAAATTCAAAGCAATCGGTTGAGTAGTTACGGCGTGATAGTGGAACAAACAAACAAACAAACTCACTTTCCCATTTATAATATTAGTAAGGATTTTAGGACCCAGACATAATATGCTTTTGTGCAACAATGCAATTAATATTGTGGAATTATTGTTTCGAAACAATTGGGTAAAAATATGGTGTTTTTTAAGCTATTATGGGTTCTGTCAACGCTGTGTTACCAGGATAAAAGAAGCCTATGTGTTATTCTGAAATGTAATTTATTTTTTTCATACTCCGTGCTACTACTGAGATATTTTTTAAAACCCAGTAATATTTTGCTCGACCCGGGAATCGAACCCAAGACCCCTTGCCGCACTTGCGACCATTCGGCCAAGAGCCAAGAGTCTCGAGGCAGTCTATTAGTTATTCAAAATAATAAAACTAAATACTATTTTTTCTTTTTTCAGAGCCCCACCCAACATACCAGGTATACAGACAACCGTCAACCGTCGACAAAGACCTCCACATGTTACGGAATATTGTCAAAATCGTAGAAAATTCCTACGCATGTCCCTTCCTTACAGTTTTCAGCGACTACCATTGTGTCTACTGCAAAGAAATGTTCGTCGATCCCACTGAATTAAGGAAACATACGCTAACACACGACCCCAAAACATACAGGAATGTAATCGACAATAAAAAGCTAATACAAGTCGATATCGCCAGAATCGACTGCAGACTCTGCGATGAAAAGATCGATAACATCGATAGTTTTAAAGACCACATCACTAGTGTGCACGAAAAAAAACTATACAAAGACGTCTCGAATGAATTCATGCCTTTCAAGCTTAAGATTGGCACTCTAACTTGCGTCGTTTGCGGTAAAAATTTCGGTTTTTTTCACGCATTAAAAAAACATATGGCTGTTCATTATGGTACTTATATCTGCGATGTTTGCGGCGCCCACTACTTTGAGGAACGACATTTGGTTTTTCATAAAAATACTCACAATAAAAGGGATGTCAAGATGTTCCATTGTAACGAATGTGACAAGACGTTCCGGTCGAAGTATTCCAGGAATTTCCATGTCGCTAGAATACATAAGAATGAGCCAGCATACCCTTGCAATAAGTGCGATGAAGTGTTTATATCCTACCATATGCGATACAGGCATAAGATGAACGTACATGGCGAAAAAAGGCAATTCCCATGCGACGGTTGCGATAAAATCTTCGATAGTCGAAAAACCCTTAGGGAACATAACCAAAGAACCCATTTACAGTTATTACGACATCAATGCAATTTATGTGACAAAAAATTTTACCTCCCTTCGGCTTTGAGAGACCACATGACGTCACACACGGGGGAAAGGAATTTTCGATGCGAATTTTGCGGGAAAAACTACCCTAGGTCTAAAGCTTTAAAGGTGCATTTGCAATCTCATAGTGCTGAAAAGAAATATAAGTGTTGTTTATGTCCCTCTGCGTATACGCAGGTAACGAATTATAGGAATCATATGAGAACGAAACACCCTGGTAATGATTATGATTGAAAATTTAACAGCCTGTATATAATTATAATACGGTATTTTACAACTATTCAAATTCAATTCAAATCCTTGTTTTAATTAAGTACGCCCTAGAGGTAAAACATAGCGCTCTCAACATATTACATAAGAACTTATAATGTACCTATGTTTTACAATGAATAAATGAATCTGAATCTGAATACTTTTGTCGAAACGTCAAAAACGATATTGTTCTATGAATTTTGTACGAAATACAATCTTATGACGTCATCATATTTTTGAGACAAATAGCACACTTATTTCTGAAAAAAATGCTAGAATAAATCGAAAATTAAGTATATCGTTAAATATATGAATGAAATTGTAGTTATTTTTAAATGTTTAATTGGATTGAAAAATCAATATAATTTAATTTTGACCCAGGATAATACCCAATTGTGTACTTGCCAACTAGTCAAATTAAATACTTTTTTCGAACTGCCAAAAACGACAGTTTTCTATGAATTTCGTACGAGATTGTATATTGTGACGTCACGTTTTTTTAGCGTCAAACAGCGTACTTATGCTTAAAAATTTGCTGGAAAAATACTAAAATGAAGTTTGTCATAAAATCAATTAATGAAAGTGTGATTATTTTTAAATATTTTATTGTATTGAATAGTCTAAATATTTTGATTAAGGAAAATACCCAATTGTATAAGTTATGTTAGTATCACATTGGTTACAAAGTCGCTGAGGGTCACGGGTTCGATTTCTGGGTGAGACAAAGAATTATTAATATTCTGTTATTAAAATTATTATATGAATAAAATTATTTTTTTTCTCTGCGTACTTACAAGTTTACAACAGTTGCTAATAATTTGAAAGTCCGATCCAGTAATCGAACCCAACAACCTCCTACCTACACATACAATGTAAAGTTTGTCATGAAATCTCATAATTAAATTGTGAAATCAATGCAATTTGAACTGTATTCCTTTACCAATAAAATTGTAAATCGTAGCTTTAAAATTCGTCCTTCCTTCTTATTTACATTATTAATTATTATTATTACATAAAATTACATTGTTTTGGCAGGTGCCATAGTCATCCATAGTTCCCAATTTACCAGTCCACAGCAACCCATCCATAGCCCTACCTTTTTTTCCATTATCCACAATAGTCCTACACTAACCGGGGACTGTCCTTGGGTGCATTTCCATAGTGCATACAGGGATAGTCGCCGGTTTGTGTCTCCATTACATTTAGATTAAAGTTGTCTAAAGGGCCTCTGCGCAGTTGGCTTCGGCCCCTCGTACGCCTCCCAAATGACCGGGACCCTGTGGTCCCGTGAATGGTAAAGACATTATTATTTCAATACATGCATAAAGCTCCGAAATTGCTGAGCTAATTTCGATATATGTATATTTTGACGACTCTGTAAAGATTATATATAAAAATATTTGTATTACTGTATAAATGTATATACGCATTGTGTTTTAAGCGCATATTTTACAATATCTGATTTAGTTCATACATTTCTTGAGTGTGGGAGAGCTATACTTCGGCACGAATGGGCCAGCTCGACCGGAGTGATATCACGGCCGAGCAGAAAACCGACGTGAAACCACGTTTGGCTTGTTTCACGTCGTGTGAGTGAGATTACCGGAAACCCTATTATCCGCCGCCCTTCCCCAATCTCCCCAATCCTTGAATCCCCAACAATCCTCAAATTTCAAACTCCCAAAGACCGATAACGCCTCTGGTGTTCCAGGTGTCCATGGGCGACGCCGATTGCTTACCATCAGTTGATCCGTCAGCTCGTTTACCGGCTTATCCCATAAAATAAATTAACGTTTTTGTAATATAATATTAAATTATTATACCTACTTATAACGAGGTTTATAATTAACCTCTATGAAGGATGGATGTATGTTTGTGCGGGAATATATTGTTTATAAAAGATCAGTTATAAATGTTATAATTTATAATACTTGTTATTACTTACATAATACTAATATGTAACGTTTTTGTAATAAAATTAAATAATTGTACCTAATTATAACGAGGTTTTTCATTCATCTTACCTGACACAGGACGTCACTGCTAAGCATAATCGAGTAAGTCTAATTATTAGATGATAACATGCCATTTTTAAAAGGGACAAGCCCGCAACAGCCTCCCAACCGCTGCAACTCCCGTAAGCCAGGATCTACAGTAGATACAACCATGAAAAGTAAAACACCGGAACACTGAAGTCCGGCGCATCCCAGGGACATGAGTATGATAACATGCCTCCCTCTAAATAAAGAAGACAAGATTAGAATGTAATGCATCCTCCTTGGATCAGGCGAAAGTGTCAGACTCTTACTGACTTAACATCATCTCGTTTCTACTCCTGTATAGAGCCGGAGCCCCGGTAACTTCTTGCGCTTTTCTGCAGCCCCGACCGACTTCCAGATGGCCTGATTTTACTACGACAGGCTCTAATTATTTAGAAAACTTTTCCAACAAATAGGTCCCGCCTGGGCGAGACGGGAGAGAGTGTCAGCCTCTAACTGACTAAAATCCACCCCATTCCTACTCCTGCACTTCGAGCCGGAGCCCCGGTAACCCGATAAGTCCTCCGCGGCTCCGTATCGGCTTCAACCGTATTGGGACCCATCTGTGGCGGTCTGATGACTTCTTGAGGCGCGCGCAGAACGCGACGCGCCGTACGCCCATGCTCGCCGTGTCGCCCGTGTGACCGGAGATCGTCCCGCGATCCCCGACTGCTTCGCAGAAGTAGGAGACTGCAATCCAGTCCCCCTCGCTCCGTACCATGGCCTGAACAAGAGCCGGAGGCGTAAGTTCGGCGTCACCGATCACATCCCTGAGGACACGGCGGTGCTCAGCCCACGCAGGGCACACCGCCACCGTATGCTCCACAGTATCCTGCCCAATGCGAAACAGGAGCCAACCGAAACTTCCTAGTCCAGTAAGCACCTGCGTCAGGCGGTAGGTGAGGAAGCCCTACAAGCCACTCCAGAAAGACCTTTTGGACTTACATACTTATTATATAAAAATGAAACCCGTTTCCCGTTGTCACGCCATAACTTGAGAATGGCTGGACCGATTTGGCTGATTTTTGTTTGTTTGTTGTGTTTGTTATTGTCAGGAGAAGGATCAAAGTCAAAGTCAAAGTCAAAATCATTTATTTCAATTAGACTAGGATGGCACTTTTGAACGTCAAAAAACAAAGAAGTGAAGCTAGTTGCTCATTCCAAGGTGTAGATTCCTATGGAGAAGAACGAGCAAGAAACTCCATAGGTTACTCTTTTTCAATCGGGTTTACAATACAATTCTCTAGTTACATAGTTTTGTTGGTTCGATTGTGTGAGAACAATGCAACACCTAAATCCAGTCAAAGAGACTGAAAAAGAAAATAACCTTGAGGATAATAAAAAGATACAGTCTGGAGCTGACCAGTTCCAATCGACGGTGCCCGTTCACGAACATTTGGCGTAACCCAAATCTTATGGGAACGGGAGGAAATGGGATTGCGCGTATGAAGTCGCGGGCAGAAGTAATATTATAAAGCTAAAGATTTTGTTTATTTGTTGGCCCGATCTCCGGAAACTACTGATTCGAATTGAATAATTATTTTTGTGTCGTATAGTCTATCGAAGGCTATAGGGTATCAAACATCACGCTACGATTAAAAATAGCCGAGCAGCAGATACAGCCGCGCGGGTACAGCCAGTAGGATAATAAAACGACAATTTACAATATAAATTAGATTTCATACACATTTATTTAATACTGACAAACATATTTACAAATAATAATAAATTAAATTTTAAAAAAATCAGTACACAATTGACATCCATTATAATATTATTATATACAGAATTAGAGATCTCTTATTTACAAAATATCCATATTTAATTAAGTAATAAATTATAAAATAATATAATATTGTACTCCTTTATGTACAGCCTGCAGTTGTATTGTAAGATAAATATTTAATAAACAAATTTTATTAAGGAGGAATTTTAAAAAATTTACAGTTTGGCAAAAGAGTTTAACGCGGTGACAGCTGGAAGCTCTAAGTGTGGGAGAGCCATGCTTCGGCACGAAAGGGCCGGCTCGACCGGAGTGATACCACGGCCTCACAGAAAACCGACGTGAAACAACGCTTGCGTTGTATTTCGTCGTGTGAGTGAGGTTACCGGAGGCCCAATTACCCTCCCCTTCCCTAATCTCCCCAATTCCTAAATCCCCAACGATCCTCCCAACTTCTAATCCCCAAAAGGCCGGTAACGCACTTGTAACGCCTCTGGTGTTCCAGGTGTCCATGGGCGACGCCGATTGCTTACCATCAGGTGATTCGTCTGCTCGTTTACCGGCTTATGCCATCACCCACTTCGAATAATATCATTTATATCCCATGAACAAACAATCATCCGAACATAGTACTTTCCCTCTTTAAACTCGATAAACTAACAAATATTAAAACCTATTGAGTCGTATTGTACCAGGTTGCCACAGGTACGATACTAGCGACCTCAATGAGTACTTTTCTTAATCAAAAACAAATTATTTCGACTGTTCAATACAATAAAATATTAAAAAATAATCACACTTTCATTAATTGATTTTATGACCAACTTAATTTTAGTATTTTTCCAGCATATTTTTTAAGATATAAGTATGTTGTTACGAAAAAAAACGTAACGTCACAATACACAATCTCGTACAACATTCATTGAAAACTGTCGTTTTTGACAGTTCGAAAAAAGTATTAAATTTGACTAGTTGGCAAGTACCCGATTATTCAAACCCTTTTTGCCAAATTGTATGTATGATGCTGTATATGGACTGTATCGTTTAGATAATTCAATCGATATTTTAAATTTATAACGATTTTATCACATCTGTGTTTACAATTGTGAACTCATCATGCTTCGGCTATCGGGCCACTTCAACCCGAGTGATACCACGGCTACTGAGCAGAAAACCGACGTGAAACAACACCTGGCGTTATGTGCAGCCGTGTGACTGAGGTTTTTTTTGTTGGGACTACCTCCCCACAACCTCCCAAAACGCTTTGTCAAATATTCAAAATGATTTCTCAGTTAAGATTTATCTGGCTTTGGAAAAATCGGTCGTTATTTGATTTAAAATGGAGTTTGTTATGTTAACATACAAGTCTTTTTTTATTTTTTAATGGCATAAGAAGGTAAAAGAGCAGACAGATCACCAAATTGTAGAACATACTTTTTTAAAAAGAGTAACGAATGGAGTTTCTTTCTCGTTCTTCTCCATTCGAATCTACTTTTTGGAATGAGCACCTAGCTTCACCTAGTTTCACTGACGGACTGACTGACAGACTATTATTTATTTTGTATTTGTTGACGTTTCAAAAGTACCAAACTATGGTTTAATTGAAATAAATGCTTTGACTTTGACTTTGACCTGATGGTAAGCAATCGGCGTCGCCCATAGACACCTGGAACACCAGAGGCGTTACAAGTGCGTTACCGGCTTTTTGGGGATTAGGAGTTTGAGGATCGTTGGAGATTCAGGGATTGGGGAGATTGGGGAAGGAGAGGGTAACTGGGCCTCCGGTAACCTCACTCTCACGACGAAACACAACGCAAGCGTTGCTTCACTATGGTTTTCTGCTCGGCCGTGGTATCACTCCGGTCGAGCCGGCCCATTCGTGCCGAAGCATGGCTCTCCCTATGTTGTAAGAATCTCAGCAATTGGCGTTCCATAGTCTCTACCTACCCACATGGGAGACAGGCATAAAGTTATATATGACAATTAATTCAGCTATAATTAGCATCCAAATCATAATTCTGATGATGATGAGACTTCATATGATTTTTCAAACTACCATTTTGTGTGAAAGTCGAGTTACAGATATCGCATTTGTATCTTCTATCATTACTATGAGACCTTATATGTTCCTGCAACGACTGTAGACGGGGGTAACTTTTGTCACAAAACTCACATCTGAAGTTCCTCTCCCCTGTATGAGTCGCCATATGTTCTTTCAACCGCGACGGAAGATAGAACCTTTGATCGCACAGATCACACTGATGCTTGTAGACTTTCAAATGGTTTCTTCTATTGTGTTCCATCAAAGTCTTTCGTCTATTGTAGACTTTGTCACAGAGCTTACAGGCAAAAGTTCTTTTGTCGCCGTGCACTTCGATCAAATGTCGATTCCTTAAAGCGTAGGAGAGGAAACTAGCCTCGCATTTGTAGCAATTCACTGTTGGTTTCTTCTCATGAACCGTAGCTACATGTAAGTACCTACTGTATTTACTTTTTAAATTCTTCCCGCATATCTCGCATGGAAAACTTTCTTCGACCTTCGTATGCGATTTTATATGTGTACGCAATGAATTACGCTCTAAAAAGCAAGCGCCGCAAACATCGCAGATGTAAGTCCCAAAATGATCAATCATATGTTTCTTTAAAACATCAAAATATGGAAACGTACCATTGCATTCTGTGCAAATCAAATTATTCAAACTCAATTTGAATTTCAAAAATTCATTCGTGACCGGATACAGCATCTTGCCGTGTACACTAGTTAGATGTTTTTTGAAGACTTCTAAATCATCGATTTTCTCGTTGCATAATCGACAATCGATTCTAGTGATGTCTATTTTCGGGATTTTACGGTTTTCCATCGTGTTCTGGAATAGTTCGACTGGGTCGTGGGTGAGGGTGTGTTCTCGTAGTTCATTTGGGTTAGTGAATTGGTCTCTGCAGTAGAAGCAGTAGTATATACTGATTCTGTTTTGAAAAGGACAGACATAAGAGTTATGTACTATAGTCAAAGCGTTGGTGTACACCATCAAGTCATGATCTAATTCTTGTTTTTTCTTTTTGCTAGTTTCTTTTTTTACTGGGACCTCTGCAACTGAAATAGGAATAAAAACAGTTTAAATAGAACATAACATAACATTGGTATGTTAGGCGTTTTATACTTGAAGGAGTAGGCAGAGGTACACATTACGGCATACAATGCCACTGTACAATGTAACCTTCCTGAATCCCCAACGATCCCCATTTCCTAATTCTCCAAAATTCCAAGTGTCCATGGGCGACGCCGATTGCTTACCATCAGGTGATCCGTCTGCTCGTTTACCGGCTTATGCCATAAAAAAATACACCCACTTTTCATTATTTATGTTATGAGTCCCATGTAATAGGGGGTGAGCCTATTGCCATATACCGGGCACAATTCCAAGCTTCGTGCTACTACTGAGAATTTTCAAAACCCCAGTAATACTTTGCCCGACCCGGGAATCGAACCAGAGACCCCTTGCCCGGCAGTCGCACTTGCGACATCTCGGCCAACGAGGCAGTTAAATAGAATGTATTTTAGTACTGATAGTGTTTCTACGTATTTTTTAAAAGCAAAAAGGATTGTATTAGGACTAAAATAAAACTGATTAGAATGCATCGTTGTCCAATGATCGCAAGCGGCACTATCGAGCAAAAGGTTTTGAGTTCAATTCTCAGATCGCTTCAAGTACCGTAAAATGGGGTGGATAGGGATCGAGAGGTGAATAGAGACAGAAGAGGGGTGAATAGATATTGGGAAATTGTTCATAGTATCGATTCACCCCTCTTCTGTCCCTATTCACCTCTCGATCCCTATCCACCCCATTTTACCGTACCCGCTATTTGTACTTTCGGTTTTATCAAAGAAATCGAAAAAGTCTGCAATCGGGTACTTGCCAACTAGTCAAATTGAATACTTTTTTTCGAACTGTCAAAAACGACAGTTTTCTATGAATTCTGTACGAGATTTTGTATTGTGACGTCACGTTTTTTTAGCGTCAAACAGCATACTTATTTCTTAAAAACTTGCTGGAATAATACTAAAATGAAGTTGGTCATAAAATCAATTAATGAAAGTGTGATTATCCTTACTAATATTATGAATCTGAAAGTGAGTTTGTTTGTTTGTTTGTTTGTTCCACCTTCACGCCGTAACTACTAAACCGATTGCTTTGAATTTTTGCAGACGTATAGTTAGAAGTCCGGATTAAATAATAGGGTACTTTTTAACTCGGAAAAAATTTATATTCCCGAGGAACAACAAAAGTATTGGTATAGATGGCGCTGTGTGTATTGGTATATGTCACGTAGGCTACTTTTTATTCTTTTGTGACGCGAGCGAAGCCGCGGGTAAAAGCTAGTTCTTTTTATATTTTATTGTCAATACAATAAAATATAAAAAAAATAAATTATTAATTTCTAATTTATAATTTATTATTATTAAATTAATTTAAAATTTTAAATTATAAATTCGTCCTTAATCAAAAAAATATCGATAACAGTCGAAATAATTTATTTTTGATTAAGGCAAGTACCAATTGTGTCGCGGAGAACCTAACGTGTAACCGGGGCTCCGGCTCGACGTGCAGGAGAAGGAACGGGGTGGTTTTTAGTCAGTAAGAGTCTGACACTCCCTCCCGCCTCACCCAGGCGGGAGCAGTCATTCGATGATTTTCCCCCCTTAGAAAAAAAGTACCCAATTGTGCCAGGTATATGGTTTCGAGCCCGCACCCTCATGCATAAGAAACGGGCGTCTTAAACGTCCGGGCCACCACGACATGGACAGGCATTGGACCCCATTTATTTAAATTTAACCTAACTTACCAGGTTTATCCAACATCTCGTCTAGTTTGGCTCGCAACTTCTTCATCTTGATGGAGATCTCCTTCTTAATGGACCGCTCTCCCCGCTCCCTCTTGGCGCGCGTGCGACATGACACGGGAGCTTCCTCCGACTCGTCCTTTAAGTCCATGTCTATTTTTGTGTCTATTGCATCTGTAATTCATTAAAAACCGACTTTTTATTGACTTCAAAAAAAGGAGGAGGAACTATGTTCGGCTGATTGTTTATATCGAGGGGTAACGGGCTATTTGGTTTAAGCGACATTTTTGCAACTTTACAGGAGGGCCTTTTAAAGTTTGAAATTTCGAAAAAAAATTCGTAACAAAAACATTTCTGCAGTTATTTGAACGGGGTAAATTGCATTGAAATTTAAATTAAATTATCTAGTTGCTGATGCTAATTCTAAATAAAGCGGACCTTTAATTACAAAGATAAATGTCGCTTAATACAATCTGCCCTTTTTTAGAGTCAGGAAAAACGATTTAAGTGACTTCATAACTACAATTGGCTACAAGGGAAAAAAATTAAGCGACAATGCACTCTATTTATAGAGTCAGCTAAAAAATATGAAGTGACGAAACCCAAAATTAATAGAAGCAAGCTATTTATCTTAACTACCAATTCAGACTAAAATGAGTGACAGGCTAATTTACTTATGTGACATATAACATTGAAATTATAACGTTTAATGTTTATGTTTATTTACATCTAAGGCGATTAATGGCTGATAAAACAACCTGGATATATCGCAACCACCGAAAATCTCAGATGCTTACATTGAATAAATAAACACAACACAATATCAAAGTATTTATTTAGAGTAATAATAACAGTTTCAATAGGAATATCGATTATATTTCAGCAAAAAATTAATGTCTCCAAAACTAAATATGTTCAGTTTGCTAATTATAAGCGTAAACCACCCAGGCTAAATATCAGCTATTCAGGTCAATCGGTCTCTAAAGATAACAATATTAAATTCTTGGGTATTATACTAGACGAAAACTGTAATTGGAAACTACACGTAGAAAATGTCTGCAAGAAATTAAATAAATTTGTGTATGCACTTAGGCAACTACGCAAAACGACAAATGAAAGCTCAGCGCTATTGGCGTATCACGGTTATGTGAACTCTGTGTTAAGGTATGGCCTGTTGTTGTGGGGCAATTCATGTGATATAGACAGAGCATTCATAGTTCAGAAAAAATGCATTAGGGCTATATGTGGAGTAGGACCATTAGAGACATGCAAACCGCTTTTCATAAAGCTGAGCGTTATGACTTTGGCATCTCTGTATATTTTTGAGATTGGTATGTTTGTGAGAAATTATAACTTGTTTAATAGAGTGAATGAAGATAGTAAGCATTTACAACGAGATGCATCCAAACTAAAAATGGATAATTGTCGCAGTACTCTTTATGGCAAGAATTGTGCAATAATGGCAATTAGAGTATATAATAAAATTCCTCGATCTATTAGAGAACTACCTTTGCGTCAATTTAGAATTAAGTTGAAAGCATGGCTAATTGAAAATGTTTTTAATTGAAAAGATGCATTGACTATTGGAATGTAGAACGAAATAGATTTTAAATATTATGACATGTAATTTTTACTGACATAATGTATTTGACATAATGTATTTTGCCTTGACATGTATTTAAAAAATTAATTTGACATTTTGGAACCATTATTTTGACATTACGTAATAATTAATCAATGAAATTGGATTTATATTCTATATTATATAAAGTGCCTACTATAAACAAACATTTGCATGCCTGGAAAAGGTGGAATACACTGTACTGTTTGAAAGTTAGACTAAGATCCATTGTATCACATGTTCCTGCGAATAAATTTCTATTTCTATTTCTATTTCTATTTCAAAATCAATTAAATTAATGGGTCATTTACTGAAATTGCCGTTTTGTATGAAAAAATTTAAACGATTTTTTCATGTATTTTTTATTTGTATAATCAACGTAATCACCCATGCAATCAATGCATCGTTGCCAGCGCAGTGGCAGTTTATTGATGCCCTTCTTCAATCAGCTGGACGGGTAGCAACAAATTCTTCAAATGCATTTTGTACTGCCTCTCGGTTATTAAATTTTTTCCCGCCAAGAAGTTATCCAAATTCTGGAAAAAGAAGTAGTCTGGTGACTGGTGAGTAGGTGGATGTTCGGAAGCTTCACAACCCCAGTTCTTGTAACGTGGAGGCCGTCTCTTGTGCAGCTTTAGGTCGCGCGTTGTAATGCAGGAGCAATGGAGATTAGCGATTGACCAGTGCTGGTTGGAGATGTGTCAGCTTCTCCATCATTGTGTTCAGTTCTTCACACTACACATCCGTAGTAATGCTCACTCCGTTTGGTAAGAATTTGTGATGAATCAGAATAGCGCGAGCGCTAGACCATCAGTGACCATCACTTTTCTAGGGGTAAGTTTTCGTTTAGGGCATTGTTTAGGTGCTGAACTAGGATTCAACCAACATGCTAAACGCGTGTGGTTATCACACAGATTTCATTTTTCATCGGAGGTGACAATGCAAATCAAAATTCTTTCATTTGTGTGTATATTGAGCAGTGCAGTGCAAGGCACTACTCGATGCATTTTTTTTAAGGGTGGAAAATCATCGAATGACTGCTCCCGCCTGGGTGAGGCGGGAAAGAGTGTCAGACTCTTACTGACTAAAAATCACCCCGTTTCTTCTCCTGCACGTCGAGTCGGAGCCCCGGTTACCCGTTAGGTTCTCCGCGACTCCGAATCGGCATCGACCCTGTTGGGCCCCATCTGTGGTGGTCTGATGGCTCTTTGAGGCGCGGTACGCTCGGGTCTGTTTCTGGTCGGACGTGGAGCCACCCATGCTCACCGTCCGCAGGCCCGCGCTTACGGTAACTGGAGATCGTCCCGCGATCCCCGACGCCAGGTGTGTCCTTCGCGATGGCTGGGTTGCGAGGAGCCAGCGCTTCGCTGCCTCACGCGTCCCGCCTCCTCCTTAGCTAGCATAACTGCTTCGCAAAAGGAGGAGACGGCATCCCAGTCCCCCTCGCACTGCTCGATGCATACTTAGCTCTGTTGATCATTTAGTTTGTGGGACACCCACTTATCAAGCTTTTTTACCTTGCCAATTTGACGCAAATGTACCAATATTGTTTTGACGCTAACGTCGAAAGCTGTTGCTAAATCAGCCGTAGATTGTATGTCATCAAAGTCATTGTTGCCAAAGTCTTCGAACGACCGCGAGTTCATCTTGAAATTAAAGTACTTAGGATTCAATTTCGATGAGCGTTTTACGTAAACACTGGCGGTGTGCACGCGCGTCCGTCTGTCTTCGGCGCACTCTGGAGTGACTGAAGCGCCAGCGCACGATAGTCCAGTTGGATGATAACGATTTTTAACACCAGGGCGATGAATAAATATGGTATCATATGACATGATTGAAATGTACCATATTAAAACTTAGTGATTGAAAGACCGACTCGTATTTCTATGAATACTGGAAAAATGTTTCAATATTCATTATCAATGTTATCGTCTGTACAAAACGACATGCATTTAAAAAAAAATGAGGGTTAAATGGTTTATGACTAAACAAAATATCTGAACGAAAACAACTATTTGGTTTAAGTAGCACCCTGCGTAGAAAATAGAGGCAGCTAGAAATGTTTAAGAGACGTACCATGACGCATTTGGATGACGGACAAATGTTTTAAGCGACATCACACCGTGTGATTAGTGGGAAGTCAAAATGATTCAAGTTACTTGTTAATAAAAATTAGAAACAAGAAAAACGCTTTAACTCATGTTGACTTAATCATTAGAGATAGGGTGACTGGTTTATGGCTCGGTTATTAATATGATGGTATGGTGCAAGTACATAATTTAATAAAACATGCGAAATCCATGTCGTTTAATACACTGCCACTTTGGAAACAACATGAAAATAGAATTGTTTGAAACGCCAAAAAAGTGCTCCGATTTTAATGAAACCGGCATCATTCGACGGAGAAAAATTCGCTGATTCCGAATATATATATAACTCAATATCGCCCAAAATGTCGCTTAAACCAAATAGCCCGTTACCCCTCGATATATATATTTTTTTTGTTCGCCTATTTGATTCATTCATAACATTACTTATATCCCCGAAGAGGTACGCAGAGGAGCATATTTCGGCACTTAATGCCACTGTACAATGTAACAACCAATTCCACTATTTATGTTATGAGTCCCATGCAATAAGATGCCTTTTGCCATATACCGGGCCCAATACTAGACTTCGTACTACAACTGAGAATTAAAAAAACACAGTAGTGCTTTGCTCGACCCGGGAATCGAACCCGAGACCCCTTGCCAAGCAGTCGCATTTGCGACCAGTGATCCAAACGAAGCAGTCTCAATGAACAATAGATACCTGTCATATCCTGGTCCGGGAGTTCATCCCGGTCCTCCATTCCATCAGAGCCATCGGAGACCTCACATAGTGGTTCCGCCTTTATTATTACTTCCACCTTGTCTGAACAATCTGCAATAAATTATACTTTTTATAATAACTATCGTGAGACATACTAAATTAACTGAAAATCGCGGGTTACTCACGTGAATATACTGAGAACAGCTCTACTAGTTTCGAACTACAGAGGGGTTCTTCCTCATGACCAGCGTGCGCGGTCGCGGCGATCAGTAGGTAAGTAGGCTGCGTGACATCGCCGCGACCGCGCACTAGTAGACCAGTAGACATACGCGACGAAACTAGTAGAGCTTATCTCGGTATATTCACGTGAGTAACCCGCAATTTTTAGTTATTTTAATAAATTATACTATTTAAAGTATGCTGTCATTACTCATATGGCTCAAATCAGCGACCGCTTCTCATGTGGGTATAAGCGCAGCAGCGCAACCGATAGTAGTCTTATGGTGGCAGTGGACTTTTGACCTTTGACCGTACATTTCCAACAAATATTATTTTATATTAAGTTTAGTTTTAAAGAACCCCTGAGGTGAAGGCGTCCTTCTGATCCAAAAAATGTAGTTACCTTCTTTTAAATGCAGTCTGGTACTAAGGAACACCTCCTCGGACTGCAGCACTTGTTGTCTAAACGCACAGGCGTCACGCAGCCTCACCACACAGGTCGCACATATACAACACTCCTTGGTCTCACCGTCTAGGTTTGATAGCTGGAACATGAAACATAATACCGTTTTTATTCAATAAGACTACCTCCGTGGCCTTGTCGTCGCAAATGCCACTACTGGGCAAGGGGTCTCGGGTTCGATTCACATGTCGGACAGAGTATTACTGGGTTTTTGTAAAAATTCTCAGTGGTAGAACGTTGTCTGGAATTGTGCCCGGTATATGACAATAAGCTCACTCACTATTACATGGGACTCATAATATAAATATAGTGAAAAATGGGTGTCACATTGTACAGTAGCATTAAGTGCTGCAATGTGCACCTTTGCCTACCTCTTCGGGAATAAAAGGTGTGATGTTATGTTATTGAAGAACAACACTCAAAGAGCCATCAGACCACCACAGACGGGGCCCAATAGGGCTGATGCCGATACAGAGTCACTGAGAACCTAACGGGTAACCAGGGCTCTGGCTCGAAATGCAGGAGTAGGAACGGGGCGGTTTTTAGTCAGTTAGAGTCTGACATTCCCTCCCGCCTCACCCAGACGTGAAAAGTCATCCAAAGCGTTTATTTCAATTAAACCATAATTTGGTACTTTTCAAACGTCAACATATACAAAATAAATAATAGTCTGTCAGTCAGTCCGTCAGTGAAGCTAGGTGAAGCTAGGTACACATTCCAAAATGTAGATTCGAATGGAGAAGATCGAGCAAGAAACTCCATCTGTGACTCTTTTGTAAAAAAGTATGTTGTACAATGTCTCTGATACATATTCCAATACTGTATGTATATGTGAGAACAATGCAAAGACATGTTTGACGCATTATACTAATTACAAAACATACTATAATAAAAAACAATACAAAAAAAAGGTGCTCACATGTGCATACTGACTCCATAAAAATAGTGGTTCTATCTATACAAGAAAAAGGAAACTCTTTGTTTCAATAAAGAAAGAAATGCTCGATGCCATAAGGAAACCAGATTGTCTACATTAGAATGAAAGTATAAAATTATTAAATTACCTACTATTGGAATCTACATTTGGTGATATTCCTCCCTTAATAAAAGACTACCGGACATAGGCATTCCCTAATGTCGTGGAGAACCTAACGGGTGACCGGGGCTCCGGCTCGACGTGCAGGAGAAGGAATGGGTGGTGTTTAGTCAGTAAGAGTCTCACAGTCCCTCCCGCCTGAGCAGTCATTCGATGATTTTCCCCACAACAAAAAGGCATCCCCTAATGACTTTCAGATTAGCTGGTTAGGACTTAGGACCGACCTTTATTTGGAGTTTCAATGATAAAAGACTATGGGAGATCCAGACATCTAAGCCTAACTATACGCAAGACGTGTGTTGTCACGACAGACCATGTCTATAAGAAAGTACGCAAGTTTCTTGAAACGATTTAAAACTAAAATTCACGCAAATAGAATTGATTATAATAAAAACCTCTCCCAAGTCGATGCACTCGAAGATTCACTTTGCCTGCCGCAATTTTACTTTACAAAGGAAAGGAACCATTAAATGCATTAAATAATATTGGAGCTACTTAATAAACCTGTATAATACTCACAAGTAGTCCAAAACAATCCATGAACATATCTGAATAAACCTCTTTACTTCCCATCCATTCATACTCGACTGTTAAAAGGCGACATTTCTTTATAGACCTGCAGCACCTACATAAGGCCGGGTCTATGATCGGACCCTTGCCCTTTGCTGGAGCTGCAGGAGTCTCCATTTCAAATTACTTATGTTGTTTTCATTTAAAAATTATATTTTCTTCAAGAACTCTGAAAATCGAAACACAATTCCCGTATTGTTTGACGTTTTCGTTCACTACGTTCCAGTTTAATAACTTTCAAATGTCAGTTCTTGAGCATTTTAAGGTTGTCAGATTTTAAAGTGTTTGTCTCGTTCTTTTTACATCACAAAGAAAGAGATAGAGTATAATTTTTTCGACTTAAAATTGTTTAAATCGATCCACTATGTTTTGTTTTTAATGTTTACAAGATAAGTTTTTACAATGTAGCAGCGTTCTTTTAAACGTCTCCAACTCTCCTGCCAAGTATGGAAATATGGTAAACCCTCTTATGTAGTTCAGGCCCATTAGCCGGTAGTTATAGATGGACGATTATCCGGATAAAAACTCAAAATGGATAAATACTGAGTAAAGAAACACTCGTAAAAACTCGTATACCAGTATTAACTCGTCGAGTACCGGTTTTATAGACACAATTAAAGAACAATGGGTCGCGGTCACCGGTGACCGCTTGGTGTTTGACAGTTTAAGACTGTTGCGGGCTGTTAAAATGTACGTTACCCATTCCAATATTTTTTATGGTATATCTACATAGAACAAGGCTAACAACACCAGAGAAATTACAAGTGCGTTGACGTTGATCCTTTAGTGATAGGGGAAGGGGTCACAGGGGGGGGGGATCACAGACTTATAATACAAACCTACCGATGAATTATAAAAGCTTATTATAGGTATTTTCTTATTGCTATTGCTGTCACTTCAGTACGCAGCTACGCAGTGCACTTCACCATTTTTTTTAGACTAGCTACTTCCACGCGGATTCACACGCTCTGCTCAGCTCCTATTGGTCGTAGCGTGATGTTTTATAGCTTATAGCCACCCTCGATAAATGCGCTATCCAACACGAAAATAATTATTCAAATCAGACTTGTAGTTACGGATATTAGCGCGTTCAAACAAACAAACAAACTTCCGCTTTATATAATAAAAGTATAAGATTATTTAAACTGTATAAACAATTAATATTTTCTTTTATAACGACATTGACAAAGTTGTAAGGTGACACAGGCAGAGGTGCACATTATGCCACTGTACAATGTAACACCCACTTTTCACTACTTATGTTATGAGTCTCATGTAATAGGGGTGAGTGTATTGCCATAAACCGAGCAGTTCCAGACTTCGTGCTACTACTGCGAATTTTAAAAAAACCCAGTAATGTTTTGCCCGACCCGGGAATCGAACCCGAGACCCCTTGCCCGGCAGTCACACTTGCGATCACTCGGCCAACGAGGCAGTCGATTATTTTAAGTCTGTGTAGGGAGAATAGGGCCTATCGTATTTTTGGTCCCCAGTTGGCGGTAGTGTGCATTGTTTCACGCCAGATTTCTATAGATCAGCGCTGGTGTGATATCATACCACAAAAGTGACAAAATAAAACCAAAACCGTCATTGTCAATATTTTTATTATAAAACTTAATAAATAATATTCTTAAATATAAATTGTGATCATTATTATTATTATGCATCTATGTATAATAGTTATATATCTACATTAATATTACATTTTGTCTAATTACAATAAATAATTCTAATTAACTACACTTGAGTACAAACAATCGCTGCCACGAGCGTTTTTCTTTTTCATTTTTTGACAGATATACTCTGATATAAGTATTTTATTAATTAAAAGGGATGATCACAGAGTATGAAAATTAAAAAATAGTCCGTCAGTAGGTAATTAAAAAAAATTTAGACACGTATTTTTTTTATTTTGTCGTATAAAAAAAGAATACTTAGATAAAACGAATCAAAGTTTAGGAGTAGGCAGCTACGTCATTTTATTTTAGAGTATAAATCGTACACAAAAGTGACGTCATGCGATATTTCAAATCAATCTATCTTCGAAACTATTCGTTTCCGTAAGAAAATAAAAATACATGTCTAATGTTTTTAAATAATCTACCAGACGGACATTAAATTAAAAATTAGTCATCTATCCTATTTAGTTACTTTTAAAATGAGAGCAAAAGGAATATTGTTTTAAAGATTGAAGAAGTTGGTGCGGTGGCTGGGCAACTGGCTACCGCGTAACGTGTCGCGGGTTCGAATCTCGCACGGAGCAACTCTTTGTGTGATCCACAGATTGTTGTTCCGTGTCTGTGAGTGATATGTACGTGAACTTGTATGCTTGTAAACGCACTCACGACACAGGAGAAAATCCTAGTGTGGGGCAACGTTTTTTGTAAATAAAAAAAAGAATCGAAAAAATGAAAAAAAAAACAGACTGTGGCGTCGTTTCTTTGTTCCAAAGTATATTTCATTATTAGGGTATTATCATTATTTAGAATATTTTAATTATTATTTGTGATATACACAAGGTTACGTCTTTTAATCTCCAGAGGAGTAGACAAAGGTAGACATATACACTATACAGCTTGGCAAAAACTAGTTTGGGATAATAGATGTCGCTAGTATCGTGCCTTTTTTAAGGGGGAAAATCATCGAATGGCTGCTTCCGCCTGCGTGAGGCGGGAAGGAGTGTCAGACTCTTACTGACTAAAAACCACCCTGTTCCTTCTCCTGCACGTCGAGCCGGAGCCCCGGTTACCCGTTAGGTTCTCCGCTAGTATCGTACCTGTGGCAACCTGGTACACTACGACTCAATCGGTTTTGATATTTGTTATTTTTATCGAGTTTAAAAAGAGGAGGTATTATGTTCGGATGATTGTTTATTCATGGGATATAGTCCGAAGTGGGTGATTCAGTCCAAGCCGATATTAGCGTTTAACGCGCTCCAGCTGTCACCGCGTTAAACTGTTTTTTTACTAAGCTGTACAATGCAACACCTACTTTGCATCAGTTATATTGAGTCCCATGTAATAGGGGGTGAGCTTATTGCCATAATACATTAGACAGCCTCCATGCTATTACTAAAAAAATCTCAATAACATTTCTGCCCGAGGCTGAATCGAACGCGAGATCCCTAATACGACATTCACACTTGTAACTAGATGACCAATAAGGCAGTTTCTTATTAAAAACATCTACTTATTGGAAAAAAACTTCATACAATAAAATGAAGGCCAATCATTACAAAATATTAAAATATACATACTGTATATTAAAAAAAATACTGTTACAGAGATTCATTTCTTATGTATGTAGTCAAATTATATAAAAATGAGATCAAAACATACTTTCAATATGTTTTAAGGGCAGTTTCAATAAAACCTATGCATTCCATTGACAAAATGGCAGGCAGACAACTGGGATTTTTCCTGGGTCAAAAATAAATTATTTCGATTTGTCAGTCCAATAGGGATGATCACAGTGTATGAAAATTAAAAATATAATTAGTCCATAAGTTTTTGGTCGGCTCTAGACAACCAATGGTTACTGTCTCTGTACTGAATCAATCTTTATTCTTTATACCTGAATATGGGTATACAAAATTATGGGTACTTACTTGCTAAAAACTAGTCAAATTCAATACTTTTTTCGAACTGCCAAAAACAACACTTTTCTATGAATTTTGTACGAGATTGTGTATTGTGACGTCACGTTTTTTTAGCGTCAAACAGCATAATTATATCTTAAAAATATGCTGGAAAAATATTAATTAAAATGAAGTTGATCATAAAATCAATTAATGAAAGTGTGATTATTTTTTAATATTTTATTGTATTGAACAGTCGAAATCACTTATTTTTGATTAAGGAAAGTACCCAAATATTAAGACTACATGTTCGACGGTCAGATCAGTTTAAACTAGTTTCACATAGTTTGATGTATATATTGCCATTCGGAGCGTTATAATAATGTCTGTAGTTACTTATAAAAATATGTCATTCGCTATTATAGTACCTATTTCGGGCATTCTACTACATGTAGGCACGATTATAGGATCTAGATACGGAATAGATAGCAAATGGAGTGATCATTGTGAGCTGTGATTTTATATTTCACTTGCTACTTGGCTTTTTATCGTAACGCGATGTTTTTTTATGGCATAAGCCGGTAAACGAGCAGACGGATCACCTGATGGTGAGCAATCGGCGTCGCCCATGGACACCTGGAACACCAGAGGCGTTACAAGTGCGTTACCGGCCTTTTGGGGATTTGGAGTTTGAGGATCGTTGGGGATTCAGGAATTGGGGACATTGGGGAAGGGGAGGGTAATTGGGCCTCCGGTAACCTCACTCACACGACGAAACACAACGCAAGCGTTAAGGTAGATGTACCATATTACGTAAGTGTACGTAATTCCGTAAATTTTCAGTTTAGGCCTAAAAATAAGAAAACTTGTAGTTGTATCAAAAAGTTATAAAATTATCTATTAAGTATGTAAAATAGAGCGTCAATTACATACGTTAAAAAGAACTGTAACTATCTTCGGCTCAGTTGTCACGTCCCCCTCGGTCAGTCTGCGCCAAACCGCCATAAAGTGTGTGTTGCGTACGCGTTAGCTACCGCGCGGATTTTCATAAGGATATTGCGAGTGATATGTAAGTATTTTCATAACTTTGTAATGTTATTATTTTTAAGGATTTTAAAACTAACTAATTGGTTACCGTTTCTAGTTACTTCATTTAGTTTTAAGCGAGTTAATTGAAATTTTCTGATTGCCGCAATTACCTACACCAAAAACCAACCGTGTACATTATTACGTAACAATTACGGAATAGAGGAAAGAAAGGCGATTTTGTTTTTTGTAATTTGTCAGGAATAAGATGGGATAAGTAAACGATAAACGCTATTACAGGTCTAATATATAACATAGTTTCTTGGAATCAAATTACGTATTACGATTTTATTTCTCTTGTTATGAAATACGTGTGTAAAGAGAAAACATTTTTGTACTTTAAACAGATTCGTCACAAGTGACATCGGTACATAATCATTAATTTGTTTAATTTTATTGTATTTTCTAGTATATTTTTTGATACCTATTACTAGCATGATTGCATTCCTATACAATTCAAGTCATTTTATGTTGTCAAGAAGAGTTACTCGTTAGAAATTTATGTTAAACTGACTACCGCAATTACCTACACTGTTTTTGGCTGAGTCTCTTATTACGGTATAAAAGTACCTGAGTGAGCTACTGCATTTTAATTTTTTACAGGTCAAAATGTCAAACAAAAAGTACTCCAACGAGGACCTTGCCAAAGCTTTAGAGGATATAAATGATGGAACTATGACCATATATCGTGCATCGAAGGTATATAACATACCCAACCAGACCTTGCATGATAAAATTAAGAAAAAATACACAAAACAAGAGTCAGCAGGAGCTCCAACAGTCCTGTCATCGACAGAAGAAGGTTTGTTGGTAAAATGGGTACTGCACATGGCCGAAATTGGATTTCCAGTAACTAAAGACCAACTGCTACACTCAGTAACTAAATTACTTATAGGGTTGAAACGACAAAATCCATTCAAGGACGGAGTCCCTGGCAGACATTGGTACGAGGCCTTTCTGAAAAGAAACCCAATGATAAGCAAGAGAGTATGTCAAGCATTGACTACTGCCCGTGTAAACGCTACTGAAGAAAAAATAAGGGGCTGGTTTCAACGAGTCCGAACATATTTCGAAGACAACAATCTCATGTCCTAATTTTTACCTAATCTTGTAGGTACCTAATTTATAAATATAGACTGATTATTAAATTTTAGACTTTTAAACGGATTATTTCACATATAAATAAATATTAATAAATAAATGAATATAATATAGTTCACTAAAACGTGTTAGAAGTAAGTCGAAATAAGTTCAATTTGATCTCATGAAAGTTGAAAGTTACTATTAGTACCTAAAAATTTTAATAAACTGTTTTTCTACACATAAAAAATAAAGTTGTTTTATTTATAACACGTCACATTAAATTTATGCTTTATATTTTATGTAATTCTGCAGAAAAACGGCATTTTTCTGCATATGCCGGAATTACCAGCACCCATTACGGAATTACCTGGAGAGTCAAATTTTATACCGTAATAACGGACATTTACGAGGTTCAGAAAAATTACGATTACTTTTGTAAAATAGTTTAATTACATTAGTGTTACATATCAATCTCTTCTCTGAAAACCTCTTTTTACGACTAAACTAAAATCAATACGCTGTTTTTTCTGCTTTACTGGAAATTGCTAGGAAAGGCAAAAATGCCTTAGTACTCCGGAATTACGTACATTTACCTTACTTCACGTCGGTTTTCTGTGAGGCCATGGTATCACTCCGGGCAAACCGGCCCATTCGTGCCGAAGCATGGCTCTCCCACACTTAAACTTATTTTATAGCCTATCTCTATAAATGGACTCTCTAACACAGAAATAATTATTCAATTGGAACCATTAGTTATGAATATTAGCGCATTCACCGTTTAGACAAACAAACAGGCTTACAACTCTTCAGCTTTATAGTAATAGACTAGCTTTCACCCGCGGCTTTGCTCGCGCCACAAAAGGATAAAAAGTAGCCTATGTGACATATACCAATACACACAGCGCCATCTATACCAATACTTTTGTTTTCTCTCGGGAATATCAAATTTTTCCGGGATAAAAATTACCCTATTATTTAATCCAAACTTCTAACTTTACGTCTGCAAAAATTTAAAGCAATCGGTTTAGTAGTTACGGCGTGAAAGCGGAACAAACAAACAAACAAACTCACTTTCCGATTTATAATATTAGTAAGGATTTCTAATAAAAACTAATTTTGTTTTTCAAGTTACTTGTAACACCGCTACTTTTCTCGCTGGTATCGTATACCCGACTAAGGGACTACACATTAGACAGAGACCGGGCAGCAGCGCTCTCTGATAAACGTGAACAATTTAAACTGTGATGGCCAGCCCGACTGCTAAGTGCGAAAATTATCTTATGTAGAGAGAGCCATAAATGTACTGACATAGTCTGTTGGTGTGTACTAAGACGTGTTTGGATTCAATAAAGTATATTTTTATTATGAGCATAAGATGTATTTACATTATTTTTATTATTACAAACTGATAGACTATTATTTATTATGACTGCACGGTTGGTTGGGCAACTCGCTGCCGCGCTACATGTAGCGGGTTCGATTCCCGCACGGAGTAACCCTTTGTGTGATCCACAAATTGTTGATTGGGGTCTGGGTGGTGTGATTGTGTATGTAAACTTGTATGTTTGTGCACCCACGACACAGGAGAAAATCCTAGTGTGCAACGTTTTTTTTTAAATAATGTTTTTGTTGACGTTTCAAAAGCACCAAATTATGATTTAATTGAAATGTATGCTTTGACTTTGAGCACTCCATTCGCTATCTACTCCATAAAAACATTTAATTTCATATACATAGGTACAATATTTATAACAAAAGTTATAACACATAATCGGGTACTTGCCAACTAGTCAAATTCAATACTTTTTTCGAACTGTCAAAAACGACTGTTTTCTATGAATTTTGTACGAGATTGTGTATTGTGACGTCACGTTTTTTTTGCGTCAAACAGCATAATTATATCTTAAAAATATGCTGAAAAGTACTAAAATTAAGTTTGTCATAAAATCAATTAATGAAAGTGTGATTATTTTTTAATATTATATTGTATTGAACAGTCGAAACAATTTATTTTTGATTAAGGCAAGTACCCAATTATACTACCTAAACACTACTGCTATATACTTTAAATATATATATAATATTTATATACATAAATAAAGTATCTATATATTAAATTAAATTATTACTAATACTATAAAAATGTGATGTATTGCTGTTATTATTAAAAATACTAATTAAAAAAATAAGTTCAGACTGTTTTGTGAAATTAATCTCAAATATTATTTGATTTGCAATCTGGTGGGTACATTGATAACTGCGGGTAGCGATAGGGTTTTTTTTTCAAAGGGCGAAATCATCAAATGACTGCCTCCCGCCTGGGTGAGGCGGGAGGGAGTGTCTTGATTTGTGTTATGTTTTCGACTAAAAAAAGTCATTTAACATAACATAACATCACGCCTTTTATCCCCAAAGAGGTAGGCAGAGGTGCACACAGAAGTAGAACCACCATTTCTGTTAGGAGTTCCATGTAATAGGGGGTGAGTCTATTGCCATATACCGGGCCCATTTCCAGACCCCGTGCTACTACTGAGATTTTTTTAAAACCCAGTAATGCTTTGACCGACCCGGGAATCGATTCCCGAGACCCCTTGCAGTCAGTCAAAAGTTTGAAAAAGTCATTTAAAATCCCATAAGATATAAAATCTAACCGCAAGTTCCTATAAGTACAATATCGAATTCTGATTCTATAACGCAGTCAATAAGGTCGTAAATGCACTGAAGAAATTAGACTACCTTTTAGCTGGAATAGGGATGATGACAGGGTATGAAAATTAAAATATAATTAGTCCGTAAGTTAGGTAATGAAAAAATATTAGACACGTACTTTATTATTTTGTCGTATAATAAAACAATACTTAGATAAAACGAATCAAAGTTTAGGAGTGGGGGCTAAAACGTCATTTCTACGTATAAAATGTACATAGAAGTGACGTCACGCGACATTTTAAATCAATATATCGTCGAAAGTATTCGTTTCTGTAAGAAAATAAAAAATACGTGTATAATGATTTAAAATAATCTACCAGACGGAGATTAAAATAAAAATTAGTCATCTACCCTATTCTAAGCACCACCAAACTACAGAATCAAATTAAAAATTAGAAATAACATCCTTCAATATCACACTCCGGGTGGTGACTCTTTATATGAGACTTCAAGCTAGCATTCTGTATGAACGCCTGCCCGCATATATGACATCTGTACCTACGCTCATTCGTATGTGTTCTTATATGATACTGCAAAGATTTTAACCTTGGATAACTCTTTTCACAATACTCACATCTGAAGTTTCTCTCCCCAGTATGCGTCGCCATATGCTCTTTCAGCCGCGACGGCAAATAAAACCTCTGATCACAATATTCACACTGATGCTTCATAACTTTTTGATGATTCCTCCTTTGATGTTCTGTCAAAGTCTTTTGTCTATTGTAGACTTTATCACAAAGGTTGCATGGGTACGTCCTCTTTTGTCCATGGGCTTCGGTCAAGTGTTTATTCTTTAATGCGTATGACATGAAGCATTCATCGCATCGGGGACAACGGATTATTGCTTTCTTCTTATGGACTATATCAACATGCATGTCTTTGTAATGATTTGATTTGAAGACTTTACCGCAGACTTCACACGTGTGTCGTTCATCATCTTTATGCCGTTTCAAATGGGCATCTAACCTCGGTTTCTCTAAGAAGCACACACCACATATATCACAAGTATAATTACTAAAATGTTCCACCATATGAGTATTTAAAGTATTAAAGTCTTCGAACACATCGTTGCACATGACACACACTAGATCGTTCCACGTCAACTTATAGAGTAACATTTTATCGGGTGCTTCAAAATAAATCTTTTTACCATGCACTTGATCTATATGTTGCTTAAAAACGTTGAGATCATCTATTTTAGTAGTACATAGTCTACAGTCTATTCTTGTGATGTCGATTTTTATCATCTTTTTGTAGCCCATCAGAAGCTGAAAAGGCTTGGTGTCGTGGGAGACTGTATGTTCCCTCAAATCTTCGGGTTTTGGATAATAATCTTTGCAGTAGAAGCAGTAGTAATTGTTTCTTCTGTTCTTGAAACATACGTATGAGTATTGTATAATTGTCAGTAAATTCTCTTCGGACATACAATCTAGATCTCGGTCGTAGTTATTTTCTTTTCCACCGGAGGTTTCTTTATTGCTTTCGGTGATTTTTTTGATGTACCTGGCGGAAAGATGTTATATTAGATATTTGCAATAGTAAATTGGATACTTGCCTTAATCAAAAATAAATTATTTCGACTGTTCAATACAATAAAATATTAAAAAATAATCACACTTTCATTAATTGATTTTATGACCAACTTAATTTTAGTACTTTTTCAGCATATTTTAAGAAATAAGTATGCTGTTTGACGCTAAAAAACCGTGACGTCACAACTCACAATCTCGTACAAAATTAATAGAAAACTGTCGTTTTTGACAGTTCGAAAAAAGTCGTATTCGTATGCTTGCTTATCCCATAAATAAAAAAAGAAAAAACTGAATTGAATCTAATTTGCTGTAAAACGTACTTAACAAAACAAATGAAATAACAAGAAATATCACCATATAACATACCAGCTTTACTCTTCTTAACAGCAGTCTTCTTCTTCTTCTGCGCCCCATTACTCTTTCCTTTCTTCTTGGCTTTCTTCTTTATAGGTTTATCGGAGTCCGATGATGACCCTGACCAGTCGCTGTCATCAACATCGTCATCATCTTCTCCTAACTTCAAATCATCATCAGGTACTTCTGGTTTATCTAATGATTCTTCTTTTTTAGGCGGTTTCGGTTCTGTAAAGAAATTGTCTTTATGAATGAATGAATGAATGAATTAATTAATGTCATTTATTTGTCAGTACATGGTGCACACAGATCTTAAAATTAACAAAGTTCCACACATACCACCGTTACCGGTGTAAAAATATAAAATTGTATTAACAGTACCAATTTATGTCTAATTAAAGAACATAACATAACATCACGCCTTTTATCCCCGAAGGGGTAGGCAAAGGTGCACATTATACCACTGTATAATGTAACACCCACTTTTGACTATTTATGTTATGAGTCCCATGTAGTAGGGGGTGAGCCTGAGCCTATTGCCATATGGCATGGCCCGGTATACACCGGGCACAATTCCAGACTCCGTGCTACTATTGAGAATATTAAAAAACCCAGTAATACTTTGCCCGACCAGGGAATCGAACCCGAGACCCCTTGCCCCAGCCTATAAATGTGGGTATTCATAGGCTGTTGAGCAAAGCGCCACATCACCACTCTTGCTCAATGCGGATTGGCGATTACAAACTTATAATTAAAAATTACAAGCCCAGGTTTCCTCACGATGTTTTCCTTCACCATTTGTTAGTGGTGTCTAGATAATCTCAGAAAGTACATATAACTCGGAAAAAGTCACATTGGTACTTGCCGTTGGTAGGTTTCGAAACCGCACCCTCATGCATGAAAAGCGGGCGTCTTAAACCTCCGGGCCACCACGACCATACTACATGACTACTTCCTCATCAGACCCTTATTGAGAACCACACCACACCTTGGGTATAAAGTCCTCATCAATACAAAATGATGATCAATGCTTTCCTGGCATCCGCACCAGAGTGTGATTTGTTCGCAGCGAGATGGAAGGATGTATGTCGTGAATGTGTAAGATTTTGTGAGAAGATGGACGGCTGATGAATTAGTTTTAAGTAATTATAATTATTGTACTTTTTTATATAAGATACCTATCACATAAGTGTAAATAAGTAACATTTTTTTTATTGTTTAACTGTATAATGTTTTGGCTTGTGCTGTAAAGTTATACATGTGCTTATAAATAAATAAATAAATAAATAAATAAATAAAATAATAATTTAAAACGCTTTTGAATACTCCATAACTTGGTAAGCTGCCACATACCTTCCAATTCCTCAGGGTAGCCAATAGACATGTTATCTTCATGGTCGATTCCTCCGGAGTGCTCACTCATGTCATCCTTCGGTTCTATCTTGAGTTCAATATCCATTTGTGGTTTGTGTGCCTTCGGCTCTGTGAATAAACATAAATGGGAAGAAAATTAACATTTGTAAATTACATGTCATAGCAAATCTGACAGCTTCAGTCGTATGCACAAGCGCAGTCTGCCCCTCGATGCCTAGGCAAAAAAAAAAAAAATTTTTTATTCTTTTTGGCAACGGAGTCTCCAATACAGTGTTGTCGACTATACTGCCAGTGTCGAGTGGTGACGGCAGATTTGGCAAAAAATATATATTAAGATTAACTTTTTGTAAATTGTCAATATTACCACAGATTGCGGAATTGTGTCTGGTGTTTTTAATTTTTATGAAGAGGAAAATCATCCAATGACTTCTCCCGCCCGGGTGAGGCGAGAGGGAGTGTCAGACTCTTACTGACTAAAAACCACCCCGTTCCTACTCCTGCACTTCGAGCCGGAACTCCGGCAACCTGTTAAGTATCTCCGCGGCTCCGTATCGGCATTAGCCCTATTTGGCCCCATCTGTGGTGGTCTAGTGGCTGTTTGAGGAACGCGACGCGCCGTACGCACGGGTCTGGTTTTGGACGAGCAGTGAATTTCTCGTGCTCGCCGTCCGCAGGCCTGTGCTTACGGTGGCCGGAGTTCAACTCCCGATGGTAATAGCCTACATCTTACCTATAACATGGGACTCATACTACATAATGTGTGGAAAATGATTGTCCCATATTGTCCACTTCAGCTTCTGCATTTTAATATTTTAAGTAACTACTTTTTTATGGTATAAGCCGGTAAACACGCAGACGGATCACCTGATGGTAAGTAATCGGCGCTGCCCATGGACACCTGAAACACCAGAGGCGTTACAAGTGCGTTACCTACCTTTTGGGGATTAGGAATTTGAGGATTGGGGAGATTGGGGAGGGAGATAATTGAGCCTCCGGTAACCTAACTCACACGAAGAAACACAACGCAAGTCTTGTTTCACGTCGGTTTTCTGCTCGGCCGCGGTATCACTCCGGTCGAGCCGGCCCATTCATGCTGAAGCGTGGTGAGCCCAAACTTACAGCCAATAATTTAACAATTTAAATGATAATACCTTCCAGAGCATCCTTCTCCTCCTTATCCTCAAGTTTAGCGCTGAGGAACAGCTCCTCGCACTGCAGCACCTGCTGCCTGAAGGCACATGCATCTCGGAGACGCACCACACACGTTGCACACACCCCACTGTCTTTCTCATTGTCATCTACATGAGATAGCTGGAATAGAAAATGACATTATTATATTTTTGCTGCTGACTACGTCCGCGCGGTTTCACACTCTCTGCTCGGCGTCTATTGATCATAGTGTGATGTTTTATAGCCTATAGCCTTACCCGAAACAGTAGTTCCTGAGATTAGCAATGTAACACCCACTTTTCACTATTTATGTTATGAGTCCCTTGTAATAGGGGGTGAGCCTATTGCCATATACCGACCGGGCACGATTCTAAACTCAATGCTACTACTGAGAGTTTTTTAAAAAGTCCAGTAATACTTTGCCCAACCCGGCAAATGGGTTGCCAAATTTTACAACAAATATAATTTCTTCTATAGGACTTTTGACATAACATACACCTCTGTCTACTCCTTGAAGAACTTATCTAATACTAGCTTCTGCCCGCGACTTCGTACGCGTAATCCCATTTTTTCCTGTCCCCGTTCGTGATTTTCGGTAAAAAGTAAAAAAAAAATTTGGTTAAAAAGTACCTATCCTATGTCGGTGTCGCGGAGAACCTAACGGGTAACCGGGGCTTCGGCTCGACGTGCAGGAGAAGGAACGGGGTGGTTTTTAGTCAGTAAGAGTCTGACACTCCCTTCCGCCTCACCCAGGCGGGAGCAGTCATTCGATGATTTTCCCCCCTTAAAAAAAAATCCTATGTCGGTCTCCTGGCTCTAAGCTACCTCCCTACCAATTTTCAGCCAAATCTAAGTTATAAGTGGTGTAACTAACACGACTTTCTTTTATATATATAGACTATCTATAGAGGTACAATATACCAAAGAAAGTTAGTTACACCAAATGGTAACTAACTCAAAACAACTTAATAGATTTGGATAAAAATTGGTGGGGAGGTAGGTTTTTTTTAAGGGGGGAAAATCATCGAATGACTGCTACCGCCTGGGTGAGACGGGAGGGAGTGTCAGACGCTTACTGTCTAAAAATCACCGTTAGGTTCTCCGCGACATGGGGAGGTAGCTTAGAACCAGGAGACGGACATAAGATACTTTTTATCCAATACTTTTTTTACTTTGTACCGAAAATCACAAACGGGACTGAAAATAAACAGGATCGCGCGTAAAAAGTCGCGGGCAGAAGCTAATCACTACATAGTCAATACATATGTAGTATAAAACAGAGTCGCTATCCACCGTCTGTCTGTCCCTATGTATGCTTAGATCTTTAAAACTACGCAACGGATTTTCATGCGGTTTTTTTTAATAGATAGATTGATTCTTAAGAAAGTTTTATATGTATAATACATGCATATTGCACCCGTGCGAAGCCGGAGCGTGTCGCTAGTTATCCGTATAAGACTGAAGAGCTTGTTTGTTTGGATGTGATAAACTCTGGAACTACTGGTCCAAATTGAATTTTTTTTTTTTTTGTTTTGTATAGTTCATTTATCGAGGAAGGCTACAGGCTATAGACGTTGAGTAGAGCGGGTGAAATCACACAGAGGTAGTTAGTACTATTATGTGTAATTGGGTACTTTCATTAATCAAAAATAAATTCTTTCGACTGTTCAATACAATAAAATAATAAAAAATAATAACACTTAGTATTTTTTCAGCATTTTTTTAAGAAATAAGTATGCTGTTTGATGCAAAAAAATTTGGCGTCACAATATACAATCTCATACAAAATTCATAGAAAACTGTCGTTTTTGACAGTACGAAAAAAGTATTGAATTTGACTAGTTGACAAGTACCCAATTGTGTACACCTGTCTACTCCTTAAAGAACTAAGATGTCATATAATATGATAATAAACTTATTTAATTCAGCACACATTTTTCTTTCTTTTTAGTTCAGTAAAAATACTTCTTTGTAATTCTAATTGTAATAAAACAATTTAGATATATAACATCACACCTTTTATCCCCGAAGGGGTAGGCAGAGGTGCACATCATGCCACTGTACAATGTAACACCCACTATTCACTATTTATGTTACGAGTCCCTTGTAATAGGGGGTGAGCCCATTACCATATACTGGGCACAATTCCAGACTCCGTGCCAATACTGAGATTTTTTAAAAACTCATTAATACTTTGCCCCGCCAGGGAATCGAACCCAAGACTCCTTAACCCTGGCATTCACACTTGCGACTACTCAGCCAACGAGGCAGTCATTTTAACATTTTTTATTATTATAATAATAATATTTTACATTTTAGATATTCTTCACGTTTTTAATATTGCAGTAAATATCCTCTTGTCTATTGAAACTTGCAGCCATAATTTGTTTTATACCTGGAGCCGGTGTTTTAACAGATAAGAGGATATGGAAAGTTATATTGATCTTATTGTAATTAAGTAAATATGATAGCTTCAGTGATGGTTACAGGGAGATATGTAATTGGTTGAGGTAAAAGGCACAGTAAAAAATAATTACCACTGGGCCACCAAGATAGGCTGTGCCTAGTTTGGGGCCCACGGTTACCTCTGTCGCATTTGTGTTTATATGAATGCTGTTTGCTTCCATGTCTACATTTAGGGTAAGTTGTGTATGCATGTAAATAAATTATAATTTAATTTAAATAAAACAGAAACTAAAATTGTAGTAAGAATGCAGTTTTAAACATTGTTCCTAATACTTCTAGTTCTTAATATTTAATAGTTTACTAACTACATAGGGGCTTTTATTTTAGCTGCAAGTTAACTATAGAAAATTTAAATTTAAGGCAATATAGTTAGAAAAGTAAAAGTAAACACAAAAGAAATCATAATAATGAATGACCATTTAAGTTTCGAATGCACATTCCATAGTGTAAAAAGTTATAGTTTTCACTGACCAAGATCCCAAAGCAGTCCATGATCATATCGGCGTACACTTCCTTCTGCTCCATCCAAGTATATTCCGCTGTGAGAATACGACATTTTTTTATAGCCCTACAGCAGCGACATAACGCTGGGTCTATTATTGGCCCATTATTCTTGACTGTAGCCATTTTTGTACGATTTAATCTTTGCGAATTAAAAAGATCACAATTTCAGCATTATTTACATTCGGCATTTATCATATTTTTGTTATTTTATGTAATTTTTATTGAAGAAAGCTTTCGCAAAATAATTTCACGACAAATCGTCAGTCGTCTTGGCTCTTGTCAACATTATAGAGTAAAAAAATGTCAATAACTGTTTGGTGCTAGCGTTTAGTTAGTCCTGATCGCAATGTAATATATAAAAATAGGAAATACTTAAATTAACATTCGTATATGTTATCATGAAGCCGAATGAAATATAAACTATCGAGGCAAATTATAAAAGTATGCACACAAAAATTGACTAAGATTTCTTTTAAAATGGGACACCAAGTGCCATAGACATATGGTGTCTATGGCACTTGATTGACAGATAACAAAACGTAGGACGCGGCTTTTAGCTTTCATTATCTTTGGTGAAAAATGGCGGTGTTTCATTGAATGAAAGAATATTTTACCGTATATTGTGCTAAATCGCAATCATGTCGGAGGAAAAAACTGAAGTGGAGACGTTTTTTGGGAGATGTAGATGTTGCCTCACATATGGCTACTTAAAAAACATGTGGTTAGAACATAAATACAATGGAAATCCAGAAATATACGGTGAAATGCTGGCCAAATGTTTTGCGTTGACTGTGAGTATTTTTCTTCTTGCTTTAGTTATGAGGCTATTTGCTCAACATCCTTGATTTTTACCTTTGTTCCAAATCTGACTTTCAAAATAATATCGGGATTTTGCGTTCCCGCCTTGTAGTTGTTAATTTTGATAGTTTTATTTAACTAAATAAAATGACAAAATTGATAAGGCTTCCCTACTGCGTATTTATGTTGCAACGTACGTCATAATTTAAACGTGTGACCCGATTACACTACAAAAATGATTTACTCGAAAGTAGAATAAAACTACATATAACCTAGTCCAATCAAATTAAACTTTTACATTTCTTTTCATACACCTGCAAAGCTTCCAAAATATCTTCTAACCAAAATACGAGCATATTATCTTTCTATTATCCCAGATTAAAAAAACTAGTCAGTTTTCTTTTTAGTAAGAAAACTAAGTAGTCGCCTATTTTCATAAAATTAATTACCTACAATGGATTTTAAAATATACCTACTTACAGAATTTAATATTGGAATCAGTTATTTACCATTTAATATTGGAATACTATCAACACCTCACTAAAAATTCCATGCATCATTTGAAATCCTATTCTATTAGTTTAGAATTAATGTCTGTCTAATAAACCCTATTCATTTTATTTCATAACTAATAAAGCCTAGCCAAAAATTAGATACAAATTGTTTTGACATAGGTCAAAACTATTGAAAAAAGGATTTGTGTTCTCAAAGTAAGAAAAGTAAAAATAAGGAGATTGGGGAAGGGGAGGTAATTGGTACTGCGGTAACCTCCCTCACACAACGCAAGCGTTGCTTCACATTGGTTTTCTGTGAGGCCGTGGTTTCAATATGTATAGAATATTTTTAATTTAATTACTTAACTGGACTTTTTGGTTGGTGCTAACCTAGTTTTTGAAAAGAAAAAAATATAATATTTTCTTGTGTAACAGTGGGATCATTCCGAGGACTCCATAGAGCAGGACCAGATATGCGAGGCCTGCATCGTTCGACTACGTGATGCATATGACTTTAAGAAGGTGGTCTTGGACTCACAGGAGGAGCTTACGAAAATGTTGGAAGATGGTAATATAACAATATTATGTTATAATGCCTAAATTTTGTATTTCATGTGATCTGTGCGATGTCTCTTTTTGTTTTTCTTTCTTTATACTACTGCCTAAGATGTTGTAGGTAAATATTTTTATCATATTTTATTTTATTAATGTTTTTTTATGCTATTTCGCCTGGTGGTAACCGATGATGCGTTCTATGATGGAGCATGTCATCCCATAAGCAACCTATTCACTCAGGCCTTGAAGACACCTATTTCTTTTGTAAAATTCAATGCAGATTTAAGCTCCGTACAAAATATGTCTAAATTCTTTTGTTGACACTGGTTGTATACCAAAAGCAAATTAAAAACAATTATTTTGATTATCCTAGTATGAGTAATTTAATAAAACCTTTTTCCACAGAAAATCATGTGATCATCAAAGAAGAAAGACTTGATGAGCAACTCTTAGAGGAACAGGGAGATGATGACAATGATGATAACTTAAGTAATACGGAGACCGAATACATAACATTCAACAATGATACGATGGAGAGCATCAAGGAAGAGGCTCCAGAGACCGAATATACGGACATTGAGTACTTGGAAGATGAAGTAGCCAACATAGCCAAGGCTGAAGATATTAGCATGGTTGAAGATAATACTAAAGATAGTGTTGATTCTGGTAAGTTCTCCATAGTTAATGAAATAAGAATCTGGAAGGTCATCTGCCAAACTCCCCAATCTTTTAAGTGTAGGAGAGCCATGCTTCGGCACGAATGGGTCGGCTCGAGCGGAGTGATACCACGGCCTCACAGAAAACCGACGTGAAGCAACGCTTGCGTTGTGTTTCGTCGTGAGAGTGAGGTTACCGGAGGCCCAATTACCCTCCTCTTCCCCAATCTCCCCAATCCCTGAATCCCTAACGATCCTCTATATTATATCCTCCTCTATATAACTCCTAATCCCCAAAAAGCCGGTAACGCACTTGTAACGCCTCTGGTGTTCCAAGTGTCTTCTCTTTGGGCGACGCCGATTACTTTACGTTTACCGGCTTATGCCATAAAAAAAATCTCCAAATTTTTAACCTGCAATTCCCTAATTCTCAAATCCCTAACGCAAAAGGCCGGCACCGCCTTTGTAACTCATCTGGAGTTTTGGGTGTCAATGGACGGGGCCGATTGCTTACCGACAGGTGATTCATTTGCTCGTTTGCCAACTTATTCCATAAAAAAATTAGAAATATGGTAAACCTCCTTTGTGATTACACTAATAGGATTTGATGGCCATTTGGCAAGCAAAAGAACTTGGATAATGGATAAGATTCTCTCCTGCTCATTCTTGTCCGTCTTTGGAACACACAAACAAAAATTGTTAAGAGCTAATGAATAAATTGAAACCTATAGACCTCATCTACGGAGACGCGGCGCGTTGAACTTTTATCGCATCGACATTGCCGCTGCGGACTGCGTCTTAGCTCGCACAAACAAATACAATGAGCAATGTGCGACGTACCTACGCCCGTCGCACCGTGTCTCGGTAAACGAGGCCAATAGTCTTACATTTAATGTTCAATTTATTTAAATATTTTTACTTTAATGTGAATCACACTAATATTATAAATACGGAAGTTTCTTTGTTTGTATGTTTGTCTGTGAAACTACTACGGGCTGACTTAGGTGAAAGATACTTTTTAAATGCTCCCATAGGATAAAACGGGAACCAGACGAAGTCGCGGGCAACAGCTAGTTCTACATAATTTAATTTACCACATCGGAGTATATTATTAACTTAAGCAACAACGGTTTCAGACTCATCCCAATCATACAAACCGGAACCAGCTAAAAGAAAGAAAAGGCCAAGGGTTTCCGAACCTGAAGATGATGATGATGAGAGTGGTAAACCCAAAAGAAAATGGCCACCAAAGCTCCCTAAATCTGAGAGACACAAAACATATAAACAGTATTCAGAAACTGATCTACGGAAATGTTTGGACGAGATCCGTAGTGGAGCCCTAACGCCCGCTGATGCATCTGTTCAATACAATATACCAAAGAAAACCATCTGCGCTAAAATGAAAATGAATTCTACAGGTTAGTCACGATTTTTAAACTTTTTTTATTGTGCTCTTGATATGGATTGTATTTTGTTCAAAAAGAAAGTGTAATATAGTAAAAATATTGATTTTAAAATAGCTGAAATCATTGTTTGGTCGATCCATGAACAAACAAAATATTTTCGATATCAACAGCCATTTATATTTATAAGAAAACTGATCATAATGTTATTACTATAAGAGCAATTCCATATTATCATTCGCTACTTTGAATTTTGTTATTTTTACTGTTAATTAACATAAATGATGAAAAAATACATTTGATCAGTTTTCTGAACAGGAAAAGTGTTATTTTTCTTAAGTACTAGTCATATTATTTAAGTTATACAGGTTTTATTATTAGATATGTGTTAATCTTTACTCGAAGGAAGGTTAGGTTTATAAAACTAACTGGATTATTAGGCGATTCTACATTCAAATGTAATAGAAATATAAAAACTAGTACCTTGCTAACTAACATAATTTCATACTGAATAATGGCGTTTGATAAAAAAAAAATTATGGTCCCAAAACATTGCCCTGAAGAACCCCATAAGCCATATAGTGGTTCTATGGCTATATTTTTCATTGAGTTTGCTTTTTTTAACATTTTTTTTATTAAATGTATTTAATGTGAGTACCAGTAATACTTACCATCAGAATTTTAATATTTAATACCAAAACATGTATCCTACTTTATCAAAAGCTTGTGTCGAAACTAAAAATTAAAAACGTCCTGAAGTAAGGAACTTGAACGCATCTCTTAAAGAAACAAAAACTAATAACAAACAAAAAGTAAAAACTAATAAGCAAAAAATAACTATTATTAGTACTGATACCTACAAACTGATAGGTTAGAAGTCGGTTCCATAAGTTCTAAACAAAATTATTCATTAAAACCTTAATAGATACCTAATATTAATCAGTTTACGATTTTGTGGCCATTAAGTTATATCATTTTGATATGAGCTTATGGCACCGACTTCTAACCGATCAGTACTAATACATAAATAGTTATATCTTCCTTATTTCATTTTTTATCATTTTTAGTATAAAGCTACCTGTGTAGTATGGAAAAACGGGTCTATACCTGTTTTCCCATAGTAATCCAAATAGGTGCAAAGTTCTCATCAATACAAAATAATCAAGACCAAACACAAGGTAGTTAATATAAACTGTTGAGGAGTTCCATCGACTGTCGGTCGGCTCTATCATCAGGTCGACTTCAGACCCTTATCAAATTACAGTGTTTAAAAATCCTTATCGAAAAACATAATAGACGCAGACGCATTACTCGTTCCTACAATTTTAGAAAGTTCCCTTCGGTTTTCCTTGGATTCCATCATAAGATGACCTGACCTCTTGAAAATGGGACCCTCTTAGGAGTATACGTATAACCTTTCAAACTAAACAAAAATTTTGGAAATCGGTTCACAAATGGCGGAGTAATCGGTGAACAAACAAAAAAAACCTGCCTCTTCCTTTTTTGAAGTCGGTAAAAATTACTATACACAAGAAAAGGCCAAAACAGTATAATTATAAAATATAATAAATATTAAGGCCTAAAATTGCATTAAACGGACGTTTGCGACGGGCACGCGTTCTACTATAACGGTGTGCAAATACAGTTGAATTAAAAACGACGAAGTTGCGGATGGCCGGGGTTCCAGCTCTATTCGGAAATAGGAACCTGATAGTTTTTAGTTGGTAAGAGTCTGACACTCCGCCTCGCCTCACCTTAGGGAGTCATTAAATCTCCCCCCCCCCCCCTCAATAAAGCTCGTTTAGAATACACCGCGTATGGTCCCGCGACGTGTACCCGTCGCTAAGCACTTTTATATGGGTTCGTGTGGGCACCCGCGTAGCACAGTTTTCGCTCTAAATTGTGACCACTACGGTTGACTAAGCTAAGCTTACAGCGAGACCCGACACTGCACGCACACTTTAAAAAAAAGCGGCTCAAAATACAACTTTATTTTCTATGCTTCTTGTGAAAATGCTCGTCGTAGCGCGATATTACTGGTCATCCACAAAGAATTTAAATAACCACTTTGTTCTGTAATTTGAAGCAGAGGAGACAAATTACTGCATAAAGTGTTTAAATATTAGAGACTTATGTAATAAAATAACAGAATACAACAATAACTATCTGCACGGGACGATCTACGGCCACCGTAAGCACGGGCCTGCGCCCGACCAGAACCAGACCCAAGCGTATGGTTCGTCGCGTTCCGCGCGCGCCTCAAAGAGCCATCACACAACCGCGGATTGGTCCTATAGGGCTGACGGAGAACCTAACGGGTAACTGGGGCTCCAGCTCGACGTGCAGGAGAAGGAACGGGGTGGTTTTTAGTCAGTAAGAGTCTGACACTCGGAGTCGCGGAGAACCTAACGGGTAACCGGGGCTCCGGCTCGACGTGCAGGAGAAGGAACGGGGTGGTTTTTAGTCAGTAAGAGTCTGACACTCCCTCCCGCCTCACCCAGGCCGGAGCAATCATTCGATGATTTTCCCCCCTTAAAAAAAATAGGCCTGATGCCGATACGGAGTCACGGAGGACTTAACGGGTTGCCGGGGCTTCGGCTCGAAGTGCATGAGTAGGAACGGGGTGGGTTTTAGTCAGTAAGAGTCTGACACTCCTTCCTACCTCACCCAGGCGGGAGAAGTTTTGTTTTTCTAAGGGGAACCTTAGAAAAACAAAAACTATCTGCACGGTTTATGATCGAGGTTTCATAAGTAAGTAGGGAAACAAGGGAATTTAAATAAAGGAGATAATATGTCTCTGGGGCAAGTGAAGAAGACGATTTACCATAAAATGTTTATTAATATAAATGTCATAAAAACATCGAAACCAATATATGACTTTCTTGTTGTAGATGTCCTGATTGACAATACAACGCAATCAAAATTGGAAAATGCAAAACGGCTAAGGAAAAAGCCGACAATATTTAAAACTACCGCATTGGACGAGAATACGTTAAAACAAATAGAAAGAAACAAATTAAAAGTGAAAGAAATGAAAACATTTCCGGAGGACGGTCCAATTGATGACAAGAATGAAGTTAAAGATTTTGGGGCTAAAGTAGAGATTCCACTTAAACCTATCAAGAAATTACACATAATCAGAGCAGAACAAGTCAAAACAAGTCATAAAGGGATAGAATTCAGGAAAGGGACCAAGGAATCTGTAAAGCAAGAAATTATCGAAATGAAAAAACATAAAGATAACCTTAAAACTATACTACATAATTCGAATGCCACTGTAATAAAAGGGTACACGGGTCGCGGTTTTTATTGTAATTATTGTAACGAACATAGACGATTGCCTTCAGATTTGAAAAAACATAATTTAGACGCACATAGCTTAGTCGAAGACGTTATAAAGGCGAAATACGTGTCAGATCTATTCATTAGACTTGATATAACGAATTTAAAATGTAGAATTTGCAATCTAAACGTAGATAAATTAGAAGATTTGACTGCACATCTAACCAAAGTACACGATAAAAAGTACCACGCGGATTTAAAAAATTATTTCATTCCTTTTGTTCTAGATACAGATACGTTCCAATGCATGCTTTGTGAGAAAGATTTTAAACATTTCAAGTTACTCGTTGAGCATATGTGTGAGCATTATAGGAATTTTGAATGTTCTCACTGCGATCGTGTGTTTATCAATAGACAATGTAGGCGAACACATATGCGAAGACATAAAAAAGGAGTTTTTAAATGCTCTCATTGTCCTAAAGTATTTGATACTCGTCCATATAGGAGTGCACACGAAAGAGTAGTACATACAATGTCGAGTAAGTCTCGCAAATGTTCCTACTGCAGCGAACGTTTCGGTACAACAGACTTGGTGCAAGCTCACGAAGTTAAAGTGCATGGGGTAAAACCATTAGTATTCACTTGCCAAGCTTGCAACAAATCTTACAATAGCCAAGGTTCATTGTTGAGACATAGAAAAAGCTTTCATTTGATGATAAGGCCCAATAAATGTTCATATTGCGAAATGGCGTTCTTCACGAAAAAGGACTTGGCGTCTCATACTGTAACTCATACGAAAATAAAGGATTTTAAATGTCATATATGTTCGAAATTGTTTGGGACGAAATGTAGTTTGAATCAACATGTTAAGTCGCATTTAAATGATCGGAGGTTTAAATGTGATATATGTGACCGGAAATTTTTGTATATGACGTCTTGGAAAAGACATATGGTGAAGATACATAATACTATTGTGTAGATACTGCGTATTAATTTTTTTGTTCATCATATGGCACTTCTGTAGCGTTACGTATGTTAAGGGAACAGTGAGTAAAGTTCCCTAAGATCGGACAAGGAGTATCCTCCGACCAGACTAGGTGATCGTGCCTGGCGGGCTTTCTGCCGGACAGTTGTTCGTTGGGTCCGATGTAGGATTTTTGTGACGTCATCTGTTGATTTGTTTCATCGACAGTATGTGTGCGTGAGCTGTTATGCTGTCATTTGACGTGTCACTTATGTCGTAACGTGTGACACGTGTCGCCACATCACTCCCTCCCAAGAATGGCCGATCCAGCAGCTGTAGCCAAATGCCATTTAGCGCTTGTCTACATGTAGAATAGAAAATCAATTTATATGGAATTGACGTAAATTTTGACACCTTTCAGTGTCATCCCCATACATTTTGATTTGTACTCTCTCTATAGACAAGCGCCAAAGTGGCGTTTGGCTAAAGGCCCTGTAGAGACGGCTGTAGATGTTTGAGATGAGCGTTGCCAGAACCAGTGTAGTATGTCCCTGGTTCCAGTGAGTCGGAACGGTGCAAGCAGTGGCCTGGCCCACGGTGAGTCAAGGAATAGATGCTGCGAGGGTAGGTTGCGTAGTGGCTGACGTCTGCGTTGACGGGAGATTTCCTTCAGAACCGTGTGCAGAAGTGCTGTAGTACCTAGACGCTGGTGAGGCCGTAGGGAAGAACCAGGCTGCATCTTCGTTGCAGGCGATGGTGGTCCCTGATGAGGCCGAGGATGCTGGTTGTCTGCGACTTGATAACCACTCAGCGAAGAAGTGATGAATGAGAGACGCGATACGATAAGGATGATGGTGCTGATCTGCTCCGAAGTGATGGTTTGAAGTGTTCCAATCACGTCGAGGTCATCACTTTAGGGAACAGAGAGTAAAGTCCCTAAGATCGGAAAAGCAGGATCCCCCGATTAGGCGAGGTGATGGTGCCTGGCGAGCTTTCTGCCCAACAGTTGTTCGTTGGGATTTTCTATCCATGTCAATTCACACGTAAACTTCACATGTGGGTTGTAGGATTTCGTGACTTCATCCGTTGATTTGTTTTCATCGATAGTCTGTGTACGTGAGCTGTCATGCTGTCATTTGACGTGTGACATGAGTCACCACCTAAGTTTGTCCAATAGAGTATCCTCTATCTAATAGCTTACCTATCGATAAAGTTGTTTCCATTAAGAATGTATCGGATGGCTTAAGTTTCGTTTAGACACAGCTCAGCATGCTCCATATTAATGTTCAAGACAAACGGAAGGGCCCAAAACATTCCCTTGAGGAATCCCAATGTTCATTTAGTACGACCATCACTTTAAGTCGTTATATTTATAGTATCTTTGCGTTTTTAGTAAACATTTGTTGTCGACTACAATTAACGTAAGTAAACTCGCATAAATCATCAGTACGGGTATATTTTTATACTATAGTTAGGTTATTACAAACGTGCGACTAAACGTGAAATAAATAGGACAATGCCGTACAATTCGCATCAGATCGAAGAGCAGAGCTATCAGAGCATAGATCTGATAAAAATGATATATTGTTATGACAGTTCGCACTTTTGTTATGGCCCAACTATAAAACATGTTTGCTACATTACCGAAAGCTTGCGTTGAATCTAGAAACACTACTAATTCATAAACATTCCGAAGCAAAGGACTTCTCTTCCAAACTAGGACATAAAAAGAGAAAATACCGTTTGGGTACCAAAATGGAACACTGGAAAAAATCTTTTTATTGTTTATTATCGAGGTATTATAAATTACCCGAGCTTAAAGCATGTCGCGTTCCGCGCGCGCTTCAAAAACCATCAGACCACCCCAGAAGTGCTGATGCTCCATCTGGAGCTGCGGACAACTTAACAGGGTACCGGGGTTCTGGCTTGATACAGGAGTTGGAATGAGACGGTTTTTAGTTAGTAAAAGTCACAATCTCTCTCGCCTCACCTAAGGTGGGAGGAATCATTGGATAATACACCCTCCTTAAAAAACAAAAGAAAAAAAAAAGCGGTGCCCCACACTAGCATTTTCTCCTGTGTCGTGGGTGCGTTTACAAACATACAACTTCATATACACATGACACCCAAACCCGGAACAATAATTCCTGGATTACACAAACAGTTGCTTCGTGTTCAGTTGCCCAGCCACCGCAACAACCGTGCAGTCAAAATAAACAAAAGTTGCACATGTAAGCACAAAAGATATGATTTTAAACAAAGAACTTACTATGTCTACGTGAACAGAAGCTGATTAGCATAAAACTAATTTTAAATAATATAAAAATGATGATAATGACGAAACCAATATATGAATTTCTTGTTGTAGATGTCCCGATTGACAATACAACGCAATCAAAATTGGAAAGACGCGCAAAACGGCTAAGGAAAAAACCTACAATGTTTAAAACTTCCGCACTGGACGAGAAAACATTAAAACTAATAGAATGTAATAAAGTAAAAATGAAAGATATGAACGATACAAAGGTTGCAAAGGATCCAATTGATAAAAATAATGAAGTTAAAGATAGAAAAGATGAAACTAAAATAGAGATTACACTTGAACCTGTCAAAGAATTTGATCAAGTCAACGCAGAACAAGTCAGAACACGTTACAAAGCGATAGTAAACGATAAATTCAAGAAAGGGACCAAGGAGTCAGTAAAGCAAGAAGTTAACGAAATGAATAAACATAAAGATAACCTTAAAACTATACTACATAATTCTAATGCCACTGTAATAAAAGGGTACACGGGTCGCGGGTTTTATTGTAATTATTGTAACGAACATAGACGATTGCCTTCAGATTTGAAAAAACATAATTTAGAGGCACATAGCTTAGTCGAAGACGTTATAAAGGCGAAATACGTGTCAGATCTATTCATTAGACTTGATATAACGAATTTAAAATGTAGAATTTGTAATCTAAACGTAGATAAATTAGAAGATTTGACTGCACATCTATCCAAAATACATGGTAAAAAATTTCATACGGATATCAAAAATTATTTCATTCCTTTCGTTTTAGATACAGATACGATGCAATGCATGATTTGCAAGAAAGATTTTAAACATTTTAAGCTACTTTCTGAACATATGTGTGAACATTATAGAAATTTTGAATGTTCTCTATGCGACAGAGCGTTTATTAATAAACAATGTATGCAAACACACATTTATAGACATAGAAAAGGAGTTTTTAAATGTTCTCATTGTCCCAAAGTGTTTGATTCTCGTCCTAAAAAGAGCGTTCACGAAAGAGTAGTTCATGCTTTATCGAGTAAAACTCGCAAATGTTCCTTCTGTAGCGAGCGGTTCGGTACAACAGACTTGGTACAAGCTCACGAAGTAAAAGTGCATGGGGTAAAACCATTGGTATTCTCTTGTCAAGCTTGCAACAAATCTTACAATAGCCAAAGTTCCTTATTAACACACAGAAAACGCTATCATTTAATGTTAAGGCCACATAAATGTTCATATTGTGAAATGGCATTTTTCTCCAAGATTGAGTTGAGGTCTCATACGGTAACACATACGAAAACAAGGGATTTTCAATGCGATATGTGTTCGAAATCGTTCGGGACGAAATGTAGTTTGAGTCAACATGTTAGGGGGCATTTAGACGATCGGAGGTTTAAATGTGATCGGTGTGAGCGCTCGTTTGTGCATAGGACTGCTTGGAAAGGGCACATGAGGACAATCCATAGTACTATTGTCTAGATCACCTTGAGCTTCTTGCCGTAACTTAACTGCAACTTTGACTCGTATTAAGTCAAAAGCGACTACTACTGGCTTATTAGGGGGCAAACTCATCGAATGACTTCTCCCTCCTGGGTGAGGGCGACAGTGTCAGATTCTTACTGACTAAAAACCACCCCGTTCCTACTCCTACACTTCAAGCCGAGCGAGCCTTTCAAGAATGAAGCTATACTTCACACCGAAACAATAACTTCTGGTTTACCAAGAACAAGTCCGGTCATGCTGACTGTACCGGTAGTACTGTTTCTATGTTTTGGGATGGTTCGGTTAAGCATCAGCTAGAGCCATCGAGTCCATCAAGAGGCGATGACGATGATGCGCTTGTAGAAGCCCGGCTCCAAGACCTCAAAAACAAGTGACTAGTCGCAAGCGTGCAACCTGTGAGTCTTTAAGTCGCGAGTGAATAGTTTACTTTAAAGCAGGCGTGCTCCATCGCAGGTCGCATCATCGCTCACCACCAGGCGAGACTGTGATCAAACGTTGTCCCAATACCTATATTAAAGATATTGTTTTTGCATTGAATCTAATAAGTAATGAGGCTCTGTCGAGGTCCGTTTGTTGAATAGACTCAGCTAGTCTCAAACCACTCTACATTAAATTTTGATAGCTACAAACAGTCCTCAAATTACATTAGCGTCATTTGGTCAGCTAAGAAACGGAAGCCTTCATTGTAACAACAAATGTTTACTAAAAACGCAAAGATATTATAAATATAACGACTTAAAGTGATGGTCGCGTTAACCCGTCGAGCGTCCGCGTTCCTTATGATCCAACGGGTGCACACGTGACATTTGGAGAAAAAAGGAAAGAAAATGCATTTATTTGGCCATTGGCACACGAAAACAAGGATCATTACAATAGAAATAAAAATACAGTCAAAATAAAAACAAAACATTAATAATAATAGATTTTATAAAAGAGAAAGCAGCATGCAGCATTTTTTCTTATGATCCACCGGGTGCTCATAAGGACGCTCGAGGGGTTAAGATGTACGATATTTCGGTTAAAAAAGATTTTGCATTGAAATTTTCATGTCCAACCTTTAGCGTATCGTTGTACACGATAGAACGGTTCTTTATTGAAACGAGAGGATCGTCTGGGTCCCTTGTGCAAGTTTTTTTTACGTTATGATGTCCGGCACTCTGATTGGCTTGTTCCATGTTAACCAACTAATCAGAGGGCTTAACGGTAACCGAGTTCTCGCACTAAGCTCTCAGGTCAAGCTAGGATTATACGGGTTAGTCTGCTAGAAACTTACCGTGTTACTTAGCACAGTAAATATATTGTATACACGGCTACAGCGGGCTACACATCGAGCTTTACATAACCAGTATAAACTGAACGTTAAATGTGCGGAAAGATGATGCGACGCGATACCAGGATAAACTGGTTTTGTACAGATTGAAGTGTGGCCGTGTGTACGTGTTAAAAATTTCTTTTGACTTTACGTCGTGAAATATTAAGCGGCTTCTATCGGTTCTTTTATAGTTCATATACACTGTATATTTGGATCCGAAAAATTGCAATGAGTTGAATAGTCCTAAGACTACGTTTCAACATGCACAAAAAATCTTTAGAAATAAGTATTAACAAATATTTTTTTTATACTACGATACGCCCTTTTTAAAGGTCTGAATTAGATATTGTTTTGTAAATATTATTACAGTTGTATTGTACAAGTACAAAACGTATAAGTCGATACTTAATAAATATTTTCAAATATATTGTCGTTTTTTTACCAAAATACTTTTTAACCAAATCTTTAATAGAGTTTGAACGAAATCGGGACCTCTTTTGACATTTTGAAGCGAAAACGAAAAAATTGGAATACAAAACAGAAATTTCCGCTTCTAATTTTAATAACTGTAATTACTTACATGATAATGTTCAAGAAACTAAAGAAGAAACTCTTGTTTGTAGATGTCCAGTGGAATGACACTGCGAAGGAAGAGACGAAACAGAAAAGTAAGGTTATAGTACAAAAATTCAAAGAAAACGCACGCACTATTATACAGTGCACCAATGCGACTCCAATCAAGGGACACTGGGGCATCGGATACTCTTGTCTCCACTGCCCATACCAAACCCCAAACCCTACTGAACTTAAAAAACACACATTAACAACACATTTTTCAAATTCTGACCCCATTGAAACAGTCAAATATGTCTCCGATATGGTCCTTAGAATCGACATCACAGATCTTAAATGCGAGATTTGTGATCTTCCAATAGATAACTTAAAAGACGTCATGATGCATTTGAAAACCAATCACCACCAGCCCATGCATTTGGATATACCCAATCATATTATCCCGTTCAAGTTTAATGATGACTTTTTGCAATGCGCACTATGCTCAAAGCAATTCGATTTTTTTAAGCATCTATCAGAACATATGACTGAACATTACTCCAACTACGAATGCACTGACTGCGGAAAACATTTCATTAACAAGCGAGCCTTAAGAACGCATATAGTGAGACATCAGAAAGGCGTTTTTGTGTGCGCTTTCTGTCCCAAAATCTTCGATACGAGAATAAAAATGAAGGAGCATGAAAGAGTATTGCACATGAAGGGGTCTAAAACACGTAAATGTGGATACTGCGATGAGAAATTTATGGATACGGTTCGTAAAAATGATCACGAAGTCAAAGTTCACGGGGCTCCGATACCACAGTTTTGCTGCAAAGCCTGTGGAAAAAACTTCGACAGCCAACGTTCTTTGAAATCACATATAAACCATTTCCACCTCCTACTCAGACCCCACAAATGCCCCGAATGCGGTAAGGGATTTTATAACAAGAACGAAATGAAAAGACATATAGTAAAGCACACGAAATTGAAAGAATATCAGTGCCAAATATGTTCTAAGTACTACGTGACGCGGACTTCTTTGAGGTCCCATATGAAAATTCATGCTGGTCAGAGTACGTATACTTGTGAGCGTTGTGGAGATACTTTTATACAGAAGAAAACGTGGATACAACATGTTACTAAGCATGCTGAAGAGGCTAAAAGCGATATGGAAGCTACTGATAATTGTAGCCAGGATAGCATTTTTGCTTAGATTTTACACAGACTTCAAAAAAGGATGAGGTACTACATATGTTCGGATGTTCTTTTTCAATTTTAATAGAATGGTATTCAGTCACTACTTCGTCTAGTGATAAGCGATGATACAATCTATTGCGCTTGCCAGACTATGTTCCTCGCGGTACTGATTTGCCGCGATGTTGCCCTCTCTACCCACACACTGCTGTACACGCGGAATTAATGGCGACACTCCTATTGCCTCGTCGCTTCCTCGTATTACCGGTCCTTTGACTCACGTGCTAAACGTGCATAATAGGGAGCAGTGGGCAGGACGAGGAGCATGACGCGGCATGACGAGTATTGTTACCACACTGTGTCTGCCTCCTTTCCTCGTTACTTCCCATACCACTCGTCGAGTGTGTGGCTGGCGGATATGATTGTGTACACCGAGCTATAGGTGGCGCCGCACTTGTTCACACTCGCACTCGCTCACAACCCTGCGCCAATGTCGCTTTGACGTCTATGGGCTCTCGTGCGTGTCCGCCGAGTCGTACATCAGTCAACATCTACTATTCGTGGAGGAAAACAAATCAAGATGAACGCGAACATGACAACCAATGACAAAGCGACATTTATTCATGTTATGAACGAGTGCGAGTGTGTGCAACCTATTCACTCAGGATATAAAGACACACCCAAGTATCCTTGTTGATATAATCCTTACTATAATAATATTATAAATCGGAAAGTGAGTTTGTTTGTTTGTTTGTTCCGCTTTCACGCCGTAACTACTAAACCGATTGCTTTGAAATTTTGCAGACGTAAAGTTAGAAGTCTGGATTAAATAATAGGGTACTTTTAATCCCAGAAAAATTTGATATTTCCGAGGGAAAACAAAAGAATTGGTATAGATGGCGCTGTGTGTAATGGTATATGTCACACATAGTCTACATTTTATCCTTTTGTGACGCGAGCGAAGCTGCGGTTAAAAGCTAGTATAAAATAATTTTCTTTTCCTGTTTTTCCTGTCTTCTTATCCTAACTTACTTGATGTCGTTTTTATGTTTACCAGGGGCCCTAGCAGGTATAAGTTTATTTTTACGTTAATTCGATCGAAACGTTAAAGATTAGTTGGTTTACTTGGAGCAGCCAATCAGAAGGCTGCTCTGATGATGCTTGTGTATCGTGAGGTTATGTTTGTCCAATCAAAATAGTTCTCAAAAAATTTATTGTCCAATGGTTTGACACTCGCTAATTCTCTATTGGATAGTCAGATCTCACGCTATATTAGCGCTATCTGGTGAACAAACAGACGGTAACTCTTATTCTCTTATTTACCCGACCGTAACAAAGCCAAAGGGAGGATTACGTGAGCTTTTTTTGTTTATTAATTAAGTTGACAGTTATTTCATCATTATTTTATGTTATAAAATAAATGTGTTTTTTGCATGTTGGCATTTTTCTTCCTACTTGAGATATAAAACGATTGTGACGCTATCTATTGGTGAAAATAGGTAGTTACTTCGCTAGTGACTAATATGATAACATACAAGTACTAGATTAAGGCCTGACGGCCACTATCGGTGGGCATCGGTGCTGCTCGGTACAGCTCCGGCGGGGTACGAATAGTATTAACCCATGCGTATCAATGAATATCAGATTTTCAACAATTGGGATGATGACAGGGTTAGAAAATTAAAAATCTTATTAATCCGTAAGTTAGGTAATTAAAAAATATTAGACACGTATACTTGATAAAACGAATCACAGTTTAGGAGTGGGGGCTAAAACGTCATTTCTACGTATATAATGGTACGGTCAAAGGTCAAAAGTCCACTGCCACCGTAAGACTACTATCGATTGCGCTGCAGCGCATATACACACACGCACGCATATTAGTATCCGTATGCGTACGCGTGCGTGTGTTTAT